GTCACCAAAGTAGCAAAGTCAACAAAACTGAAGACGGCGATGCCTAATATGGTAACTAGGTAATGTTTGTGTTCATTGAAAACTGAAGACAACAGAGCAAAAAGAGTTTAGAAACTAAGCATAAACTGAAGCTGCTTGGTGATTTCCAGTGAAGTATGAAAACTGGCACCCATTAATCCTGCGTTGTGGCAAGATTTACACACACACACACACACACACACGGGAACACACTGCATACCACTAACCAATTGCTGCCTTGCATGCAGCTGGTCCTCGTCATCTCGCTCGTTCTGATGCTGGAAACACACACCGAGAGCAGAAAAGAAAATACATGTATACGTGCCCCAGCTGCTCAGCACGGAATGATGCCTGGCAGCACTACAACTGAAGTACACGCACACGCACACGAGCGTGCGCACGCACGCACGCACACACACACACACACACACACACACACACACACACACACACTAGGGCAGCTGAACATAGTACGTGTGACGTGTAATAAACTGTGCAGTGTACAAATAGTCGATAAGCATACTCCAATTGTGGTCCCCGCTACTATTAGAGACTGTGCTCGTGTTGTTTCGTATTAATTCAAATTGTTTCGTATTGTTTCAAACAACCCTTGCCCCGGGTTATTATTAGAGACTGGGCTATTATTGGTCACCTGGGCTTTTTTTATTAGAGAAAAGACGTGAAGTGGTTCATCCTTGCCGTACCTGCTTGAGTTCAGCCAGCTCTTGTTGAGCACCGAGGCTCTCCTGCCGTGTGCCGTTCAGCTCAAGGTGAACACTGGCCAGTTCTTGTTTAGTGTTGGCCAGCTCAGCCTGGGTGCCTTTCAGCTCAGCCTGGGTGCCTTTCAGCTCAGCGCCGAGTTTCTTGGCAAGGTCCACAACTGTAACACAGAAAGTACATGTAAAAAAGTAAAAGTAGAGTTTACACATCCGCGTTACCACCGGCTTAGGAAGCCTGGCACGAGCAGAAGTACACGTGCATCACGCAAAAGACGGCCCAAGATGATCTTTACGGTCGAACCAGCGCTGTAAGGAGGAAACTCTATTTTCCAATATCTCCGACTTGAGTCATGTTGCTGGGGTGAAGGAGGTCTGCCAGAGAGCGCATGTGGTGGAGGTGGAGCAAATTTATTGATGTGACAAGGACAGAATATTATTATGGCAGACGCCCTGCACACATGAACAAACCTATCCAAACGTGTAAGCGATCGAGCAGGGTTCTTGGCGTTTGTTTGCACAAGGTGGTATCGCAGGGGTTTCGGAAGGTGTGTTTAGGATGGTACGGTCAGCCATCTGAAGTACAATTTACTCATGGGGTTGGGGTGGCTCCTGTGAATTTTTCCCCGAAATTTAGAGCTAGGAGTGTCATCGGGTAGTAGGGTACCCGTGCTACCCGTAATTAGATCGGGTGCTCGGTTAGCAGTTTGCTCTTGAGGATTCGATTGGGTAGTTGGAGTACGGTGTTTTCGCAACAGGGCATGTAAGAACTTACGGATACATGCTCACTGTACATCTTTCTATACAGCGCAAGTGCACGCTAACTGTCAAAACGGTGTCAAAAATACCCGATAGGGTACTCGTGCTGCCCGAATAGAAATACCCGAACTCGTTACCCGACCAACCCCCTGCCCGTTGCAGTCCTATTCAGAGCCAAAATGAGTGCCTTTTATTAAATTCACAGGGTGGATCTACCAGCTCCAGGGACAAAGAGGGACCGCAGTGTATCCGGCACCCCTGTATGGTCACGTTGGTAGACTGGAACAGGAGCACAGACAACACTTACCGTTCTGGTACTCGGCATTGCGCTGCTGCAGAGCTGCCTGCAGAGCGGCCGAGTCGCCACCGCCGTTGGTTTCGAGAGCGGAGATGTGAGCGCGCTGTGGGCTTGCCGGCACGGTGGGCGGTGTGGCTGAGCGGGTGTCGCGTACCGGTGAATGAGGCGTCACCACGTGCAGCTTGGCCACCTGTGGAGGCGCATGCAGGCTCTGCTCGCCGGCATACGAGCTGGGCTTGAAGCGCGCGCGGCCCAGGTAGGGGCTCTCCAGCTCTTCATCAGAATCCTACAGCGCAAGTGCAACACAAAATTACGAAACAAACGACAAACGTTCACTTGCCAAAGCAGCTCTGGCTCCTTACCATAGCAGTACGAGGGTATGCACAGTAAAACCGTAAAACCTATAAGGCCAAAACAAATAATGACCTTGTTTCCGGTCGGCCGACCGGGCCACTTTTTCCCAATTTCTGAAACTTTTTTTGGTTCCAAATGTATACAAACGATGGCAATGCCATGTGTGCAAGTGCACTCAACAAGTCATAACTCAGTCAAATCTCAACCGAATTCCACAATCGAAACACCTGTACAAGGTACAAGGTAGCAGAAATTCTCAGCCGTCGGCTCGAAAACCTCCGGGGTCGATACGAGCTAGAATAACGGAGCTGGAAGGACTCGAACCGTTTGCTTGATTTCTCAGGATGTACGAAAACAGGAATACACCACATGCTGTACAAGAACAGTGAGTCGGTCAACTTTGATCCTTGCCATGATATATGTACATTGCATTGTACTGGTGCTCTTGTCCAGCAATACCACAATGATTGAGGAACCAAAACAATTATCCAAAAAAAGTTTCATTCCGGCCGACCGAGTCTCCTTTTTGAGGGGTTGCCGACCGGAAACAAGCCTATTTTTTGTTTTGGCCTAACTAAAGACTAGGGGTGAAAGTTGGCACTGAGATCCCGAGTTCGAGTACTCTGATTTTCTCCGATCGAATATTCGAGTATTCTTGATATCCTAAAAATTGCACACCAACCGCCTCAAAAATCACATGATACAACCCTGATTGAACCGATTGGCAGTTCTTTTCTCGGGTGCATTGGTTGGTGGGTCATTTGGGCTCTCTCTACTCGTGTACAAATGTTCACCACACAGTCTGCACATCCATATCTGCTGACTGCTGCTCTGAAACTGCAGACTTCTGTGGTAAATGTATGTACCATGTATGAGCGAGTACTCTGATTTATTCCCGTAGCTATGCAGAAGACGTTACTTCAGTAACGTCTGGCGCTAGCAAGGGTCCACACAGCTTTAATTCCCGTAGCTATGCAGAAGACGTTACTTCAGTAACGTCTGGCGCTAGCCAGGGTCCACACAGCTTTAATTTGGTGTTTGTGTGTTTGTTTGTTTGTTTGTTTGTTTGTTTGTTTGTTTGTTTGTGTCACGGCTGGAGCTATCCCGTATCTGTCCCGTATCTGTCCCGTATCTGTGACTACAAAGGCTCTACAGGATTGTACATAACAGCTGTCCACAATATTTGCGGGCTCCTGTATCTGTCCCGTACCGTACCAATATTCGTCGTATTATGTATACGACTCCCTGATGTAGAGGGAGATTTGGAAAGAAATAGGGAGACGAGGAGGAAATTAAATTAGAATAGACGCCGAATAGGTGATAGGATGCGTCCGCATTAACATACATGTACTTTGGAAGAGAGATCCCGTCGTCTCCAAAATAAGCGTGAACGAGCGATTCAGCGCCGGTCACAGGAAACGTCGGAAGAGAGATCCCGTCGACTCCAGAACCCCCGTGTTCGGCAGAGTCCGCCGGTCCCAGGCAACGTCAGGACAGACATCCCGTTGAGTCCAGAACGCCCGTGATCGGCAGAGTCTAAGCCGGTCCCAGGAAACGTCAGGACAGACATCCCGTCGAGTCCAGAACGCCCGTGATCGGCAGAGTCAGCGCCGGTCCCAGTGAACGTCAGGACAGACATCCCGTCGACGCGCAGAAAAACTAAATCTGCAGCCTCTTTTGCCGTCGAACAGGATACGTACTTATATAGGAGACTGTAAAGTTATGTAATGTGCTCCACAGGCAACCATGCATTCGGCGTCGTCATTGGCTCAACAGGTCAATGTAGATGTATTACTACAAAAAGGCCAGAAAATCCGATTCCTGTATTAAAATCAACTAATGTTCGCTGGCGATTTAATTTCGCTGATTTCGCCGCTTGGTACCAACCGGACAAAGTAAATCGCAGGCCAACGCTTGTCATATAGGCAAATGATGCATGATTGAGCAATGGATGCATGTGAGAGCAAAATACCGATCGATTTCAAATTTGACGTGAAACTGCGCGTCACGTCGGAAATAACGTGCATCTTAACCTCTCTAATCGAGAGGTTTCTATTTCTCATCGGCCAAAATTTGTTGATTTCCAATATAAGGAGATAAAAATTAAAGAAGGAGCAAAACAAAAGTAGATGATTATTAGAGAAACAACAATCCGCAATAAATTCTGCAAATACTTTTGCCTAACTCATAATATTCAAACCGATTGAAACGTTTTTGCAATACAGTGATGTGGCCAATGAACGGAAAAAGACAATTCCATCAGTTCTTATAACATGTACGATAAGCTAGGCAAAAAAGCATAAAAGCATAGCGTAGGGCCCTGAGCTTCCAAGCTCTCTCGTTTGGTATTTGTGTGTGTGTGTTTGTTTGTTTGTTTGTGTCACGCCTGGCGCTATCCGTATCTGACGGCAAAAAAGCATAGGATGTTATAAATTTTTCAATTCTCCTATTTTTTTTTTCAGGCATATCCTGGGATTCGAACCCGCACTATCGCCCTACATGAATTCCCCCATACACTTCGCATTCATACCCATTCTTCCAAGTTGCTTCACGTTATTATCTTGCGTTTGAAAGCCCTATTTGAATATTGCGGGCAGCTGTATGTGGCCAGCTGTGTTTGATGGTACGGTATGGTACGGGAGACGGTGTCGTATTACCATCGATCGTACCTGTCCCGTACCTATCCCCTACTGTACCGTGCCATCAAAGACGGCTGGCCACAATGCATATTCAAATAGGGCTTTCAAATGCAAGATCACAATGTGAAACAACTTGGAAGAATGGGTATGAATGCGAAGTGTATGGGGGAATGCATGTAGGGCGATAGTGCGGGTTCGAATCCCAGGATATGCCTGAAAAAAAAATAGGAGAATTGAAAAATTTATAACATCCTATGCTTTTTTGCCGTCAGATCACAATGTGAAACAACTTGGAAGAATTAGTATGTATGCGAAGTACATCGGGGGATGCATGCAGGGCGCGCGATAGTGCGGGTTCGAATCCCAGGTTATGTCTTAAAAAAAGAGGATTTTTTTAAAGAATTTATAACATGCCTATGCTTTTTTTTTGTCTAGGTCATCAAGGCAAAAAAAGCATAGCGTAGGGCCCTGAGCTTCCAAGCTCTCTCGTTCCGAGTACGATTATATTCGAAAAATCCAAGCGAGTATTCGAATATTCGGTATACCGTAAAGTCGCGGATAAAAGCCGGGCTTATAAGCGCATAAGCCGGTTTCTGCATCAGGCTTCAATGCAAGCCAGGCTTGTATGCAAACCAGGCTTGTATGCAAACCAGGCTTATATGCACCACTGATATTTTTGCCAGCCGTGTATGCACATCGGCCGATCCGGGCTTGCATAGAAGCCAGGCTTCTACGCGCGACACACGTAGATCTACCACTGACTACCGGTATGGCGGCAGTTTTACTATGCACTGTACATAGCGCATGCACTCTTGACCTACCCGATCCGCGCTTAGCCATTGGCGGACTATGCTCGGCCAGTCGCCAAATTATGCTTTTGATTATGCCACAATTATGCCAACAAATATGCTGAATTATGCTGAATTATGCTCGGTTCCACTATGTATTCACGCTGTACATAGAGGATCGAGAAACCACGCATACACACACGGCCATGCCCTAAGCATAATTTTTGTCTAAACCGAAAGATTATGCCGACCTTACACGTTGGAATCCGTGTATTATGCCGGAGCATAATTTTTTGACGAAATCCTTAGATTATGCCAAATATTATGCCGGCATAATCCGCCAAGGGCTATGACAAGGAGTCGTAACTGGGGTATTTAAAAAAAAAACATCTGCAGGCTTTTTGACAAAACTGTATTATGCCCCTAAGCACAATTTTTGTCTAAACCGAAAGATTATGCCGACCTTACACGTTGGAATCCGTATATTATGCCGGAGCATAATTTTTGACGAAATCCCAAGATTATGCCAAATATTATGCCGGCATAATCCGCCAAGGGCTATCCGCGCTTGCATAGAAGCCAGGCTTCTACGCGCGACAGGCTTATATGCATTTGACCCGTTTGATTTTCAGGCTTCTATCCGCGATGTGCTTGTATGCAAACCTGGCTTTTATCCGCGACTTTACGGTAATTGTTTCACCCCTACTAAAGACCACCACGACCAGCCTGGTACTACAGGCCACTTCGCCAGGCACGGAGGGTCTCACATTCACATTACGGTTGTGCGGTGCAAACCTCTAACTAAGGACCACCTGCCACTAAAGACCGCTTTTCCTGGCCCCAAGGGGTGGTCGTTAGTCACAGGCTTTACTGCATCCATCTTGTTGCAACTGTTTAGAAGGGCACTTTGGATAGCTTGGAATCTTGGTAATTTGTGCATGGTTTGCTGATAAAAGTGGTTTGGCGATTGTTATTCATTGGCTCTTTGCTTCTTTCTTCTTCATGGGTGCTTGGTCTGTATGAAAGTGCTCTATGCCCAACACCTGTCAATAATATAACTACTGGAAGTCCACAAATATTCGGTGCATATTTATTTTCGGCTATTTTCGGCCTGGTCATATTTGGCCGGAAACTTGTTGCGGCTGAAATTTTATTTTGCATGGTTCAGTATGACAGTGTATACAGGCAGCAGCAGAACATACAGAAAATTTAATGCGGCTAAAATGTGTTTTAGCCCTGGGAGGCCGAAAATTGAATGGGCCGAAAATGTGTAGACGTACAGTACATGGAAGTATGTGCACGATCCGATATGCCGCAAATGTACGGGCCTTGTTCCAAAGACCACCTGGCTTTAACGACAGATTTTAATCGCACGCCGTGAGGTACTCGCTTAAAGGGGAAGTTGAGGCAAAAATTAAAATTTCACCAGTTGTAGTCTTCGGGGTGCTGAGTCGAATGGTCGTGGTCCGAGGAAGCTGAGACGCTCCCTTCCTACTTGAATCCCAATCGAACTCGCGCACTTCCACCGAAACTGGGTGACTGCGCCCTACTAGATGGGGATTTGTATGCAAAATGTCACTAAAAGCGCCATTTCGCTCGTATAAAAGCACGGATGACCGCGATTGGCCCATATGTTGTAGTCTTTTGGACGCTGAGTCGACTGGTTTTGGTCCGAAAAGGCTGCGATGCGGCGTTCCTCCTTTATTCCCAATCGAACATGGTTGAACAAGCGGTCATGTGCTCCTGCGAACGCCAGTCACCTGGTCACCGTGCCTGCAGGGTACAACTTACTAGCCTGTTTGACCTTTTTTGGGTGCAGTCCTGTCACTCGAGTTGAACTCGAGTTGAACCTTGGTGTGAAAGTTGTCGCCTGCTGGCGTGGTGACCAGGTGATTTGGGCACCCAGGAGCACGTGACCGCTTGTTCAACCATGTTCGATTGGGAATAAAGGAGGAACGCTGCATCGCAGCCTTTTCGGACCAAAACCAGTCGACTCAGCGTCCAAAAGAGTACAACATATGGGCCAATCGCGGTCATCCGTGCTTTTATAAGAACGAAATGGCGCTTTTAGTGACATTTTGCATACAAATCCCCATCTAGTAGGGCGCAGTCACCCAGTTTCGGTGGAAGTGCGCGAGTTCGATTGGGATTCAAGTAGGAAGGGAGCGTCTCAGCTTTCTCGGACCAAGACCATTCGACTCAGCACCCTGAAGACTACAACTGGTGAAATTTTAATTTTTGCCTTAACTTCCCCTTTAAACCAGGCTTTACTGTACATGCAATCTGCCGTTAGGCCACATACGGAATAGGGCTAGCAGCCAATCCACCCATGGCATCTGCTCACAGAACAGTAGCACATGCTTTGGCCAAAAATGAATATTTTTCTGCAGCCTCCAAACAAGGTGATCTTGCGTACTGTGATGCCTGCTCTACTCTCCTGCCGCTCAGCTCACTGATCGCATAAAGACTGTTTTTTCGAAAAAGTTTGCTTAGTTCGTCAATAGTATTACTAAAGTCAACAATCACAGTCCGTAAAGAAAAAAAAACACACACAGGACAACATCTTACACCATCAAGTCGCCGCGTCCAAGTGTGCGGGTCGAACTTGGTGTCAAGTTTGCTGAAGGCTAGCTCCTGCTCTAACTCGTAGTGTTTCCGGCATGATCTAGCCAGCTCGGCTGACTTGGTGCTAAGCTGTAGTGGCAGGAGCACAGCAGGAGCACGTGCATATACACAAACAGGCAGAACGGCAGATAGACACAAAGGCAGATAGGGAGACAGACAAACAGACAGACACAAAGAGCGATACACAGACGCATACACCGATGCACAGAAAGAGTATACAAACCGACAGGCAAGAGTTAGATGGGGACAGTAACGGTGGCAAGCCGGCACTGGATCCTGTCAAAAAGTAAAGAATACGAGAGTGACTGGACAATTCGACAGAGAGATAGGAATGCTGACGAATAAATCAACACTTCGACCATACTGGTCTTCTGAAAAAAAGACTTATTGACATCAAGAAAGCACTGTTATCATAGTTATTATAGGTATGAAGAGCAGGAGTGTGCAAAATAACTAGTGGTGTGCACGGGTAGTCGGGTACCCGTGCTACCCGTGAGGACCTCGGGTAGACGGGTAGAGAATAGTACCCGAAAACCCGAAGTCGCAGAAGACATCAAGTACAGTGCACGTGTACAAATTGATGTAATACTCCGCATGTCTGCCCAGTGTGTAAAGGAAGGGGTGCATTGTGGTGTTACCATGAAAACATTACCCGATCGAGTACCCGTGTTACCCGTGGAAAATTATCCGAACCCGATACCCGAAGAAAATGCTACCCGACTCAGCACTAAAAATAACGCTGTCAGCATATAGGCTATTACAATGTATACAAGGTGCTAGTGCAGCACTGAAGTATACACAGCAGCAGCAGCAGCAGAAAGAGCCAATGAGCTTTACGGCGCCGTGGCAGGTGTGACATAGAGGCCTGCATTGGCACTAACGCAGTGCATTCACGACTGACAAGAGGGAGTCCAAATCAGGGTTCAAGACAGGATACATGCGACATTGAAAACATACCCGTGTATGTAGGGTCAATGGCACTAAATAACAATAGTGTGAACACTTGGCATGGAGACACTAATTTGATGAGAGAAAAGAAAAGTATCAGCGTTGCAGACATCCCCAGAATTTGTGGTGAGGTCTCAAGCATTGGCACTTTTCATTGCTCTAATAATAGATAGTGTCAGTGGATATTGTGCTAGACAGACACATAGACAGATACGCACACACTATGTGGCAAAAGTCCAGCCCAAACAACGATGATGAACTTCCACTTGGCTCTACAATTTTTTTAAGAATTTGTGTGTTTTGCTGGTGTGAGACTCAGCTAGAGGCCGGGTTTTTCGCATCCGTAGAAACGCCACCACCCTCAAGGATCAAGGCGCAGGTGCAGCTCCTAAAGCGGTGGGAAGTGACTAGATAAGACCTGGCACCAAGTGGGCTCTACAAAAAAACACTTCGCGGTTCGCTTGAAACTGAGTTTTCAGCATCCGTAGGAACACTCTGCAAATATCAAAGGCGTAGATGCAGCTCTACAAAGCCAGAACTTAAACAACAAAAGTGCCGGTGAGCACATGACACACGTGAGCAACGTCCCCTAGGCCCTACCAGTTCTCCTTTGGCACTCAGCTCCTGCTCAAGGTCCGTGACAGTGCGCTGCAGGACGGAGCGCTGAGAGCGCTCGGCCTCCAGCTGCTGCTGCCGCTCTTGACACTGCTCGCTGGTAGCCTCAAGCTCGCCTTCCAGCAAGGTGATGTACTCATCCTGTTTGGCGAGCTCTTCCTCCAGATAGTTGACCTCCTCTGGGCAAACATGAAATAAGCCGTACGCACCAGTTTATTTACACAATAAAAACAGTGAGTAGCGCATTGATACACACGTCATAAGCCAGAATTATGTTCAGAATTATGCTTTCTTGGACGTTCTTTCTTTATCTTATCTTTTATCTCCATGGAAAGTTGGAAACGCCAGCATAATATATTATATCACAACCATCATACAATGACCCAGCAACACAAACTTGCTAACCCATCTAACACATCCTAACCAGTGTGCCCACTTCATTCCTGATGATGGTTATTTATATATATATGACCGAAACGTTGAATTGATTTTTTTCTGAAAAGAATTTGTGAAAAGCAGTGATTGAGTGTGAGCCAGTGTTGCTCACAAGCCAATTTTTTTGGAACATAGGGTCCACATAAAACTGAACTCCAGTGAAGCCTACTACGAAAACTCAATGACCACATATAAGTATGAGTTGTACAATGGTTGGGCTGGCACTGCTGAAAGCATGTTTCAAGTGACAAATCACCGCCTGCCATCACATCGCCCCGAGCACTCCAACGCCTTACATATACCGACTGAAAACCTTCCTTTGGCGTGACTGTGGTCCTCTTCGAAAACTCAATGACCAGATATAAGAATGAGTCGTACAATGGGTGCGCTCGCACTACTGCAAGCATGTTTCAAGTGACAAATCACCACCAACTATGATCACATTGTCCCGAGCACTCCAATGCCTTAAAAAAACATACCGACTGAGAACCTCTCCTTGGCGTGCTTGTGGTCCTCTTCGGCGACGGTCCGCTCATCGAGCGTCTCCAGCGTACGCAGGTGATAGACTGCGAACAGCCACCAGTGCGAGATGTCAGTCAGCGGGTTACCAGTGAGTGTGAGATTGGTGAGCGTAGTGCAGGCCTTCAGTCGGCTGATGTCATGCAGCTGCACACCGAAAAAGTCAAAACAAGAAAGAATTTTTCACAGAATTCAGTTGCACCAGCCAGGCGGTGAATTCTCACCTTCCAAAACAAAATTCACTCGGGATCTACAAAAAGAACGAAAACAAGCTCCCGGCCATCCAACTGAGCCAAGCATATTCATTCTTATACTATTCGTAAGCTTTCAGGAGGGGGGGGGGGGGGCTGGGAAAAGGCACATTTTGTACTCCTGCAGTAAGTGGCGACAATTCTGGATGGCCCCTAAGTGCTTACCACGCCTCTGCTACCAGAATTACGGTGGAATAGAACAACAGAAAGCCTTACAGTGTTCAGGCGATTGCCGGCCAGACGCAGATCTCGCAGGCGCACCAGCTTGCGCAAGGCGTCAGCCGACGGGAGGCGCGCTATGCGGTTGTCGGACACGTCCAGCATGGCCAAGTTGGCCAGTGTGTCCAGACCCTCGATGCGGGAGATCTGATTGCCGGCAAGACGCAGCTCCACCAGCGAGGTGAGCGAGTGCAACTTCTCCAGCTTCTCGATGGCGTTTCCGGACAGGTTGAGCGAGCGCAGGCTGCGCAGCCCTTCCAGGTTTTCAATGTACTGGCAGGACACAGAGAAACCAGAACAAAAAGTCACATATCACATATCACTGGTTCGAGTCCTGGTGGCGACAGTCAACTTTTTCCTCAGACTTTCCCGTTTACATCTTTCCCTCAGATCAATGAATATCACTTATCACTCCCTTAGTATTGACTCACATAGATTTTTGCCATACCTAAGCAGTCAAATATTCCTGCATATTTCACTCCTTAGGGCTATATTGACTGCTTATATTTGACTGCTTAGGGGTTGCGCAGTTGAACAGACAGTGCCTAGTGCAACATTGTCACTGCATGAGTAGGTGGTGGTGCAACGGTTGTGCAATCATAAAACCGGGATTCATGAGGTTATCGTTCTGGAATTTGAAATACGGACTGTTTGTCGTGATAAATCTAATATTGACTTCGTACTTGGTCAGTATAGGAAATAAAAACCTCGTAAAAGACCTCGGTTTCGCCTCGGTCTTTTACTCGGCTTTTATTTCCTATATTGACCTCGTACTCAGTCAATATTAGATACATATCAGGTTGCCAGTTAGGCTAGCACCGTCGGTTTTCCGACTAGCCAGAACTACGCAGCCTATGTGCTCGATACTAAACAGCCAGTGAGCAGCGCCGAGTGACGGAGTACAAATGCCAAATCTCAGGCTAGCAAACAGGCCAGGACAAGACCATGATATAAAGCTATGCAGAGCAGATACAACATGCACAGTGGTATACATGTAGGAATAAGCAAATCGCATCCACAGAGTCCAGAACAAGACTTGCAATTATCCGAATATTCTAATTATCCAAGAGGAAAAGGCATAGCGTTATACTGATCGAGGTCCGTACTGAGAATTACAGTACTGTCAATAATGTGATTGCATGCAGGTGGCAGTGCATGCGTACAAAATACACTAGAACACTCATATCTCTCTTATCTGCACCTCCAAGTTACGGGCACCTCGGTCTAACGGGCACCCTGCGGGAAGGTTTAAGTGGAAACATTACTATTATTTTGCCAAGCTTTGTGCGAATAGTGATGTCACCTGCCAAATCCAGCCCTTTCCGATCAAAACGTCTGCCATCCAGAGTAACGGACATTTCCAAGCTATGGGCAGTGCCAAGTCCCAGACTGCCAGATAAGAGAGACGTGAGCGTAGACATGGCTTGCAGCTTTGGATTACTGCCAGCATGTACATGTACCAAGTTGCAACGCAACAACACCCACCTTGATTTTCATGTGCTCCTGCGGCGAGAACGTCAGATTGATGCTGGTGATGAGCGCCAGGTTGGCGTCGGGCTCCCTGCATGCCTTGCGCAGCATGTCCACCGTGATGTAGCGCGCCGTCACCGGCCTCTCCCTGGTGTCGTCGCCGCCGTCGCCATTGTTGACGTGACGACGCGGCGACGGCGTGTGGTTACGCCGTGGAGACGGTGACTGGCCAGCACCGGGACTGGCGGTGGCAGTGGTGCCGAGCGTGGGCCTGGAGAGGCGCAGGGGAGTGCGCGACGTGGCCGCACTGGCTCGCGGTGTCGACGGCGACCTGCCCTGGCTGGCCTGCGCGCCATGTTTACCGCCTGCAAAGCGCAGCACAGAGTATAAAAATAATAATAATAATAATTCACGGTTCGGTTCGCGGCTGGGGGCCGAGTTTTCCACATCCGTAGGAATGCCACTACCCCCAAGGATAAAGTGCATCACAGTGTACAGTGGTACAATCAATAACACATACAGGCATGTATAGTGTATACATGTTTATGCTGACCTTTCATACAAACTTCCAGTCAACTTGCCCATCATGCTGGTGGCTTATACTGGGCATATAAACCTCATACAAACCCCATACAAACCCCATATAGACCGCCACCATAGAAACAGGAAGAAGTTGACTGTCAGTTTGTATGAAGGTCAGCATAAGTATAATACATCCCACTAGTACGCTTGTACGTGAAATATAAACCATCATACAAACCTCGGCTTCGCCTCGGTTTGTATGTCGGTTTATATTTCATGTACAAGCGTACTGTTGGGTTGTATTATATACATATCAGTGCGAACAACACAAAGAAAGGAATACAAATCCTACACAGAATTGTTATTCACATGTGGGCTACAAAAACATTCTGCCGGCACCTTTATTAATTTGCACTGCTTCTCCCTCTTTGGACGCTTTACCAACCCATACAACTGAGTGTTGCCATCCAAATCAAACACTGGCTATTACAATACTGTCGGACGCTGGAAACCCAGGAGGATCAGAGTTGTAGCCCAGGCTGCTCTTATCATCATGCATGACAGCTCATGTGCAGTTGGGACACCACATAGGCATGCACGTACTTCAAAGTACATACAATGGCGGATTTACCAACTTCTATGTACACTTCGATCAGGAGGCTGTGGTACTGGCACCGCGCTTGATGAAATACTAGCATGTTTGCTCTTCAGTGCACCGTTCTTGGGCGCCCGCCAGTGCTTCAGTACATGTACATTGCGGACTCATCTTCAGGACCAACTACACTGTACATAGTTACATAACGGTTCCTCCGCACCATGGTCCATGTGGACTTACTACCGTATTATCTCTAATATAAGCACAGTCTCCAATAATAGCACGTCTCCAATAATAGAACACCTTGGGGCGGCATTAAAAAAATAAAGTGCTCAGTCTCCATTATAAGCACACTGTGAAGTGCTCTGAAAACCACCCGGGCCTCCAATAAAGGTAGTAGTATATGTACGCACATTGCATGTACATGTACAGTCATGTTACCATGGTCAGTCGCGCGCGGTGCACCAACCTCTGAAATGAGGTTGAAATAATAATGGAACAGTCTCCAATAAAGGAACGTCTCCATTAATAGCACGGGGCGGAGGTACATTGAAAAAATTAAGGACCGTGCTTATATTAGAGATAATACGGGTATACCCTTCCTTACACATCACAATCCATCTCGCTCTCATGTTTCCACCAAAACAAGGAGCTTGCTTTGAGTGTGTCGGTGTGTGTGTGTGTGTGTGCATGCATGCGTATGTGTGTGTGTGTGTTTGTGTGTGTGTGTGTTTTGTGTGTGACCTGGTCTGGTTCTGCAGGAGAGGCATAAACCTTGCTGCAGCAAAACCTCACAACCAAAGCGGAACCTCTGTGCATGTGTGACAGCACCATTCACTCATCAGCCAATTAACTATTTTTGAAGGAAAGTAGAGATAATTCCAAATGCTGTGCCAAGCACAGTCGACGTCAGTATGGGATGTACATGTATGCGTACATGCACGGTTGTGACTTTCCTTGGTCAAGCCATCCCCGGCAATTATCCATAAACCTATCAATATTGGATAGGACTGGCGAGATTGAATTTCTCTCATAGAGGGATATACATAACTCTCACTACCTGGCGCTGTCAGCTTATTTTAGTTCATTTGTTCATAACAGGTACAACTAAAGCAGTGCAGAAATTGAAACTGTTCAAGCATGATTGTACTGGCGAGAAAAGAAAGCGCTTCCAATTTGTGCAGTCGTGTCTAAATCTGCTGCTTCTACTTAGGTGACAGTTCCTTAAAATTGATGCCCTGCCTGCCATATAGTACGTTGGGTTACAATGTATGTATACCGTGGAGTTACAGGCAGATTGGATAGGTGAGTAAACGTATTGCAGTTAGTGTAATTTGTATGTTTGAATATTTCCCGACGTCAACTAATATGAAAACAGCCGCATGCAATGCGTTGAACAATTTGTCTAATTTCTTAGATTTGACCATATTGCAGCAGCAATTTCGACAATAACCCAAATCGTAACAACAGATTCAGGAAGTTAATTGTCACCATTCTCAATTCATAAATAAGCAAAAAACAATTATATTCTCACCGACAGAGCCACTTCGTAGCGGGGATGGCACACTCTTGTCCAGATTCCTTGCAGAGTGCAAGTGGCTACTCATGACAAAAGCACTACAGTCAGCTGGCCAATCCACATGCCGGTAACCGCGCCCGAAACCCAAAGAAAGGACTGCTAAAGTCTGCTGTCATTGTCAAGCTACATGACTTACAGATATCCTCACTCAGGAACATCACTCAATGCTCATAATCATAATCAGACATCAGGCCAAAGACAAAACCGGAGTCGGGACTCACCAGCGGCCAGACAGCTGGCAACAAGTGCGCATCGTTCGCTGACGCAGTGACGGCGCGGGCCTTCTACTCGTAGTACACGCTACGGGATCGCAGGCGCGGGACCAAGCAGCGCGAGTGGCGCTAGCGCTGGACACCTACTGTTTCAACCAGGGAGTCGTAAAAGCCTTTTACGACTCCCTGGTTTCAACCAGGAAGTCGTATTTTACGACTCCCTGATGCGCGATGAGCACAACGCAACATAGTCACTCATAGACATAGGCTGCATTCGATTGTAGAAACTGGATCCCGATCCCCGCCGACCAGATCACTTCGATCGGACGGATACAATCGAATGTGCACAACCGATAATCCGTTTCAAGGCCTTAGCAACCGCGTTGCTACAGCTCATCCCGCAGTATCTCTGTACGCGTTGTGGTAAACTCTTGACCTAGTGTACGCATATTGCGAGTTTTGAGTAGATACGAGTCGTACTATCGAAATGAATCCGTCGAATCCGTCGAATCCGTCTCTGGGAGGTGGGTTGACTGGATCCGAATCCGTGCTCTCGGGATCCGGATTCGTACAATCGAACATGCACAAATTTGGCGAATCCGGGTCCGGGGCTGATGGATTCGTACAATCGAACATGCCCCTAGAAAGTGGAAATACACTGTAATTCAAATATTTAATTCAAAAAAGCGGCAAAATCAATGATTGATACCAAGCCCAACAGTAAACAGTAAGCTACACTCAAGCATTGTGAAACCGCACTGCAGTACACTCATACCTCGGTTATCCGGACCCCGAAGTTACGGGCACTTCGGTCTACCGGGCACTATTTGGGCGAGTTTCAGGGGAAATATTACTACTCTTTTGTCACTTTTCGTAGAAATATTGACGTCATATGCCATATCGATGGCCTTTTCCCCATCAAGATGTATATGATTCGGAGTTACGGACATTTCAAAGTTACGGGCAGTGCAAGGTCCCGGACTGCCCGGATAAACGAGGTATGAGTGTACTGGCGAGTTTATCGTCGAGCATAGTGCCAATATGTGCCTTTGACGGGCATTGGTCAGGACCCGCTCTCCCAATTCCCCAGCTAAAGGCAATCTATCATAGTTTTCAGTATCGACACAATAAATGCCATCGCTCACAATGCATCCACACACACACGGCAAGGTCATCATTGCAGTTACACAAATCAATTCAGAAAATCAAATGGAATACTAGATACAGCGAACAACGAAGCATAGACAGGAAGTACGCCAAAACGGGTGCTATGAAAGGGACGGGACAGTACCATGACAGTACCATGACAAAGCCAACGACAGAATACACTAAGAAAGAAACAAGAAGAAAAAAAAAGAGACCGGGGAGTCAGATAAAAACAATAGAAAGCAGACACAGGTGCAAAGCTGGCTTGCTGCACAGAGCCTGCTAACTGGTGTAGGTCGTGGCAAACAAGGGGGATTGGGTCGTCGCTGGCGTCACCACACTGCTGAAAGCAAAGGAGGACAGCATCCATACCGCCGCCGCAGACGGAGAGCGACAGGCACACTAAATACAACGCAGCTAGCAGGGAGGGAAGGGCTGCGATAGACTGGGCGAGCCACGAAAGCAACCGCGCTGCAGTGAGCAGGCACCGTTACGGACACCGACTAATAAGGGGCAAACCACTGGAAATGATGAACGCAATAAGACGAAAAAATAGCCAATAGCAAAAACGAAAACATGTCACGAGATAACTTGCAATTGGCAAACCTTTGTCACTACAGGGATCGCCCAACAACTCTCATTGCTTAGCGTGGGCAGAGAAGTGGGACGCGCTGGGCACGTGTGGAATGCGCGGCGTCTGCTAGGAAAGGCAATAGCTTCCTTCAATAGAGCACAGGATGGCTACAGCGAGTGGGTGCACGTGAGTGGGTGAGTACAGTCAGCAATAAAATATATAGATAGAATCCCAAACATGTGCGAAGATAGAGGAGACAAGGAGAAGGCCACAAATGAATGATCTAACTACAGGAGAACATACGGGCAGGAGATAAATCTTACTATAAAAAAGGGGGGCCTATATGCCACGAGCATTATAAATGACATTACGGGTCGTAGCAATGAAAAGATATCTCCATCCCTCACCGAGTCAATACATCAGAGCTTACAGCACTGTAGGCGGGGGAAGGGAGCGAGGTCAACGGCAGCCGACTCCGTGCATGCCCTCTCCCGCCAGGGCGATGCGAGCACAGCGCAAGACGTATACACACACACACACTCTCTCTCTTTCTCTCCGTTCTCTTGGAGAAGGCGTTAGCAAGAGCAGCCGTCGCTCTTTGCTGGCCGATCATTGCGAACGTCTGTTCGCTGCGGGTTGGGCTTGTGCTGAACGCCAGACTCTGCTGCATTCAAGTCCAAGCTACGCAGAGGAGAAACAAATTTGAGAAAGAAATGGAAAGCAGTGATTGAGTAAGATTATCTGTACCAAAACACCTCCCCTAAATATCATCCGGAATGCTATACAGTCAGATCTTGCATAGTACATGTTTGGAAACAGGGACAACTCCTGTTGCGTGATTCAGGAGAGCACACAACGTACCTTCCATCCTGGATGTTCTGGTAGATCTTCTTCGCAGTCTCAAGGAAAGCATCCTCAACGTTGTCACCACTACGCACAAACAAAGGGAAGAAGACACAGGCTTAAAGTACAGTCGTTGATTGATGCAATGATGGAAACGAGGTGCAGAAGGTCATTGCACCAGAGATGTGAAAGCATGAATATAAGACTTTCATATGGAAGACACTCTGAGAGACAGTTCGTGGATGTACGAGGCAGAGAGAGAGAAAGAGAGAAAGAGAGAGGGAGAGAGAGAGAGAGAGAGAGAGAGAGAGAGAGAGAGAGAGAGAGAGAGAGAGAGAGAGAGAGAGTTGACACCAGTACAGGTAGCTGTACTTAAAACAGAATGTCTAGCTGCCACCAGTCATGGAGAACTTACGTCTTAGCGCTAGCTTCGAGGAAGAGCAGACCTAATGACGAGGAGCACAAGACAACACATAGGGAGAACAGTACTCCAATAGGGAACAACCTCACGTGTGCTACTCCATGCAGTGCAACAACTGTCAGGGAAATGGTAATACAAGATTGGTGCATTCACACACCCACACTCACAGACGCGGGTAACATACAACATCGCTGAGCCATCTACTATTGATTTTCTAACTGTGAAACGACTCAAGCATAATAATTTTTGTCAAATTACGGTACTGAACCGATACATACACTTCTGTATGCATCACACACCATGTCAAGGCAAGTTTTCCAGAGAATGGAACCGTGTGTGTGTGTGTGGGGTGGGGGGACCAACAGCACTTTATACAATCCAGGCATAAAGAAATGAGCTTTATACTCACCGTTTTCGTCGGCGAATTGTTTTGCTTCCTCATACGTTACATCTCTCTGTGACACACAATACATATACCGGTAAGTAACGATGAAACATTAGAGATGCACCACAATGCAAAGGGCAAGCTGCCCTGAATATCACCACATGCATGCGCTGTGACAGTATTACTTTCTCTGGTGCTACATGCGACAAGCTACAACTACGAAGCACGATTCACAGATATGTTTGGTTCGTCAACATCCATGTGCAGTGCATACAGTCCGTGCGCCAAGCCCTTGAGTAGCCTGTTTTTTATTTGCAACCGCGGGAAAAATCGAGGTGCAAAAAGATGACGACGACACAATTGTTTTGTTGGTATTTTGCAACCTTATTTGGACCTGAACTGGCGTGTGCTGGAGGAATCCTTGTCCATTACTTGGTTTGCTGCTGAGGTATGTCCCTTTGTCCCCTATGGCACTTTAGCTGAGGTTCGTTGCGCCCAACTGTAGACCATGAAGACCTGTGTTTGCACTACATATTTTTTCGTCGTAATCGTACCAGCAACTTGCTTGTCGTGCATGAGTGGATAGCATAATCGGACACTCTCGGCTTATGCTCTAAGCGAAAGGCAGATATATTTGGGTTTGGATTCCCAAAGCACATCCCAATCAGGCTATGCAAAATGGAGCGGCCCACAATTTCGTGGAGGTATGTCGAATTGTGTGGAATTTTGCACTAAAGTAATTGTGCTTGAACAAGGACGTTTTGGCTGCTTATTTTCCTTGGGCATCTCGACATTGCAAACTAGTCCCCTTGCTGTTGTGTCTTCGCCATCTAAACGGAATTTCTATGTAAGTCGTGTGGTTGGGGTCCAGATTTTAATCAAAATCCAGCAGTATTCCTGGCTGCTACATTATAGATGGAGTACATAGTCAAAGAAACTTTTTATGTAGTTTAGCACAACTGCACAGAAGTGCAGGGCCTGAAAGAAAAGCAGGAGCTGGAGACTCAGCGTCCGCAGCATATGCGAATGCATTGTGAGAGCATGTGTCTTGGAATTCAGCTGCATCACACACATATGCACACACGCGTGCATGCACGCGCGCGCGCGCACACACACACACACACCACACACACGCACATCTGGCGCTGGTTGGGTGTTGCATACTGAACATTCTGTACTTGCAACCTTATCTTGATCATGTGTGATAGTTGTGTCACAGGTTTTTGCCGTATTTTCTGGATTCTCTGTGCTTTCTGTAGATGGTCTTGTGCGCTCGTCATCAACAGCACTACACTACTGTAGGTCCAGTGGGCCAATCAGGCTGAACGGCATCATCCAGCTGTAATTGGGGTGTAGGTAAGTGTCTCTGCGTGCTCTAATGGTCGACTTGTGGCTTCTGCCTTCAATCATTGTTCTTGCACGGGACCTCAGCCTGCCTCGCATACCCTGTGGCTCACTCGTGTTGGCAGGCTGTGATGCACAGTGGAATCCTTGATGTGGCACTCAGTCTACATGTATGTTGTTTCACGCGACAATATTGCTACTGATGGGCCGCTTTGGTGTGATGCTCTGAATAGATGTACCATGAAAGCCTCTTCATTGGTCTCCGCAGTACATTCGCTCGCCTGGCTCGTTTTTGTGGATATTATCCACTGTTGCAATGGAGAACTTTGCGTGAGGTATCTCACTGTTCATTCCGAGCTCTGATTTCTTATCAATGATGGTCTTTTGATATCGCTTGTAGGAGTCGACACCTGCTGTTGCGCCGACTCGAGCTAGTACTCGCATGAGCTCGCTGGAATTGCTATGTGCATCCACAAAGTCCAAAAGAACAAGCTGGAAAGGGTAAGTGCATGCTGGTGTGCTTGCATGCATCATGCATGATAGCACAAACAAGCACCTGATCCTCTTTGCACGGTGGTTGGATGCTTGACTTCTTTCTGACTTTGATTGGCCGTACACCATCAGCCAAATGTTTCCCCACAACTCACTGTCCACACTATCCACCACTGCGTCCAGCTTCATTTCCGACAGTGGAGTTAGAACGTTATGCTCTTTGTGTTTGAATTCTTGTGCTTGACTTTTGATTTGTGAGCGCATTGCAGCCGACAGCTCTGACACGAAGGATGATGGGCCACTGGGTTGGCTTGTGTGCTGTGTGTGCTGGGTTTTATTTTGTGCTCTGTGTTTCAGGGTCTGGGATCGTGCAACGGCGAGGGAATTGTATAAGCACAGAACTGTGTCACACCTGTACGGTACAGGAGCGTACCTCGTTTATTACTGGTACCTTATGACCCATGGCTGAGATGAGCGCCAAGCTTCGAAATAAGGCTGGACAGCAGCCACCGGTTGTTGCAGTTGATGGATGGTAAAGAAGAGGTGAAGAAATCAGCAGCCGTTGCCAGAAGAAGAGAACGGTTCTCGAGGAATGCAAGACAGACGAATCTTGCTGTTGCCAGCAATGCGGACTCCTCGGGTGAGGTGCACTGGTGCATTTCGTCTGTTCTACTCTGCATCAGGCTCTCCAGCTTGAAGTCAGTAGTCTGACTGTCCACCATATCCAGTTGGCCTTTATAACAGGCTAGGCAAAAAGCACTATCCGCGGTGACCGTAAGACCACGCTCAGCGTGCAGCTGACGTTGAACAGCTCCGACGTTCGGACATTTACGCTTAATTAACACCCCTTATGTGTGCGCTGCACATGGTGCATGTGGGCCTGTTGCTGTCATGTAGCTGCATGTTATGCCGGTTGCAGAGACCCGCTGGCTGATCGTTTAAGTTTACTTTCACGTTAAGCTTCTCGGCCAGCTCTACTGCTTGTAATGAAACTGTGACATGCCGTGGCAAGTCACAACCATCTACTGAGCAGTCTGGTGTTGTTGCGAGTACGGGTACAGGTGTTGGTGGTGCTGCTGCTGCTGCCGCAAGTGCAGGCATTGCTTCTGTAGGCTGCACGTTGTCGGTGACAGGCATTGGCTCTGCTGAATGATTTATGAGCCTTTTCATGCATTTCTTGCAGATACATGCATTTCGTGGTATTGTAGGATGATGTGCATATTCCCAGCATTGCGTGGTCTCGGGGTGGGCATATCTGCCATCAAGGGGAACATCTTGGCAGGCTACACATGGTCCGCATTGCCTGTCAGGATGCAATTTCGAGCCCTGGCTTTGGCGGCCCATTTGGACTTGGTCACAGTGCGGACACTCGTGGTTTCTTCCTGGCCTATAGAAACACCATCTGTCCGCCCATTCGCGTAGTTTTATCAGAGATAGAGCCTTGCAAAATAAGACGGCCCACAATCTCCTGCGACGTATCTACGAAATTCGAAATTGAGAAGAGAAACAAAAAGGCACCGCAACGACGTGAGATGTCGAATATCGTGGTGCACTTTCGAAAAATGTGCTCATCGCTCACCCTTCTAACACGATAACGGCGCAAAAGCAATCGATATAGGAGGATAAGCCTGTATTCTCAAGGTAACCAATTGTCGAAAATTGAGAAGAATTCGGTATGTCACTAAATTCGTCTTCAAATTTCCCGCGGTTGCAAATAAAAGTGCAACTTTTAGACGACTTTTTTGAACTTGGCGCACGGACTGCATATACACAGCGTGTGTGCATTTAACAAAAAACTGTAGTCCACTGATGTGCACTGCACGTCACAAAAGTTGAACTTTGGTCAACTTCTGCGAAAGCAATGTTGAGGTTGTGACTGCATGCTACAGCAAGGCACATTGCAGAAAGGGATGTTGTGATCACAGTTAGTGGACTGCTCACCTGCGCTTCCAGATCTGATTTGTTGCCTATTAGGAAAATAACCTGCCACACAAAACACCACGCACAGATACACAAGCATGATGAAATCGTTTGCATTGGGAACAGGGTAGCAAGTAGATTTCTTAATAGCGATCGTCTACACCACACAGGAGCATGGATAAGCAATGGGCAAGGTGTATGCTGCATGCAGACCCATTCAGTGAACACACTGAACAACCACCTGACTGTGGTACATAGCAACCAGCTGCTGCTGCTTATGTGACTTCTCTGCGAAAGGCCAGTGAGAATGAATCAAAATTACAGGCTACAATGCAACCAATCAAAGCGGAAAACCTCAGACATGCAGTGTGCAAGCCATACACAAGCACAATCCAGATTTCACCCATGGTACACCCAAGAACGTACTCAATGTATGATTGTGTACTATTCAGGACAGCCTATAGTGCTAGGGTCAGGCAGTATCATACCGTGTTGGGGTTGGTGAGGTTCCTCGCATCCGTCAGCCAGCTGCTGAGGTGGTTGTATGTACTCCGTCTGCAATAGCATGGTGGTAGTGCGTAAATACAAAAGGACGTTGAGAAAATACCAGATGGTGCTACAGTCAGACCTCGCTTATCCGGTCCTCTTTTATCCGGATCCCTCGCCAACCGGAAGAAAATCGTTAGTTACCGATTTACAGCATACGTCATGCATACATACAGTATGTGTGTTCGATTATCCGGTTTAAGCGAGGTCTGACTGTAGTGACAGTGAAACACAAGGCACTGGGAAGTCGCAGCAACTAGGGAGACGACACGGGCAATTCTAATGTGAAAGGATAAGGGTTTAAATACCGGGTAGCCTGTTTCAGTCCCCCCCCCCCTTGGGGCAGGGCCGATTCATAAGCGCTCACATATGGCAGCACATGTTTGCGCGACCACGAGCTGCATTGCCACGGATCACGTAGAACTACAGGCCTAGGATCAAACCTCGAACACGAATCGTTTCGGGTACTACACTGTACTAGTATGATCTTGTGCCATCTCCTGTGTGCCCACTGGCCAGCAGGGAGTTATACTTTGAAGTAGCATCTAGGACATTCCCCTAAATGCTACAACTCCCTGCTGGTCAGTGGGCATACATCACACAGGTCTACATTGTATGTGCTTCAGATATCCAAACACAACTGGGCAGAAATGGGCAGAACCCTTCAGAGGCATATCCGGCAGTCAATGAGATACGGCCTATGAACTGGTGTTGTCACCATCCATTCAGAAAGCGGATAGGGCTCCAAATAGTCAACATCACCCAGTTCGTGCAAACTACTGTAAAAGCCATATAATAACGAAGTGCTAACTCTAACGAGTTAACGAGGAGAAATCTGTCGTTAAAATAGAAATCGTTATACAGAAATCGATACATATACTGTCCTATTGAGCGTTGAGAATGAGTGAAAATCGTTACCTTTGGTACACGTAAACTAGTTAATTTTGGGAAATCGTTATATACAGTCAGACCTCGCTTAACCGCACACATCCGTTTTCCGCAAAAATATCCGGTTAGGCGAGGGAACCGGATAACTGAACACACATACTGTATAATATGCATGTGGCATGTCAAAAGCAGTGGCATCGTACATACATGTAGACGGGTCCTATGCAGTACAACTAGCGTGCACAGTATGTAAAACAAGGGAGAAAAATGACAAGTGTATGCAACTGAGTGCTGTCCGCATGCACCCAGCAGGTCAGGGACCTCATTTGCTTGTACAACTCCTTGATTCTAGCTTCTGCAAGCCACATGCAACCGGATACGACGAAGCTTTTTGTACACATTTTAACCAGTTTGTACACAAAATCATGCACCGGTATGCGGATCGCGAGGTCCGGTTATGCTGTATGCATAACATATGCTGCACATCGGTAACCAGCGATTTTCTTCCGGATGGCGAGGGATCCGGATAAATGAGGACCGGATAAGCGAGGTCTGACTGTATGGGCCTCGTTAGAATAATGGCTTTTACAGTAAACAACAGGAGATAGGCATGCACCATCTGTTTCATCAGGCATACGCTCTAAACCCAGTACAAGAAAATACTACATAAACCTCTACGAAGGAACAGTTCTGGCTTGGATACCCTTTTCTGCAACTGCATGCATGCACCCACACACACACATAGTGAGTGAGAGCTTATTCGTACCTGGTGATGTCGTAGACCATCAGAGCACCTGCAGCACCACGGTAGTAGCTTCTTGTGACAGCACTACGCAACACAAACCGACAAATTGACATATACAAACATTAGGTCAGCTCATGCACGGACTGACAGTGTACGGGGGGCAGTGGCATGCAGCAGTGGTGACCGCAGGGCCAACCCATCAGGTGGTTCCCACCGACCAAGGGGAGTACAGGATACCGGTAGGCAGAAGGGCGCATCACAATAATCATACGCAGAATACACATGTTTTCACCTTTTGCACCATGGCCGGTACTGTAGTTCGGCTTACTGAAAGCTCGTAGCTGTACTGAAAAGGCCTAGATGGTCGAAACAGCTTGCTGTCTACAGCATTGGGCATGTTTTCATTATGATGTTGAAGGCCTCCAATTGACCTACTACTTGCGATAATGCACAAGCAGCTACACTTGCGGTCTCAGCCAAACATATCTGGCAGATCCAGAGTTTTTATTCTGCACGGGCATCCATGTCAGTGTGGCGTAGACGGTGGTGTGTGTGTCGAAAAAAATGAAAATAGGGATTCACTGGCCAGAAAAAGCCACTTCAATCAGCTGTGTGGTGGATACCAGGCTAAAAATTAGTGGCGGTCAATTCCTCAGCCTTGCAAGCTATTGAATGGTGTAATCCCAGCACAAGTTGCTATGTCTAAGGGGTCGTCCGCAATTATCGAAAGTTTTTTTCCAATCCGTAGTAGCTTCGAAAGTGGGTGGGTGGGTCAAGGCCAGTTACGGATTGAAAAACTTCCGAAATGACACGTGCGCGTGCCACGTGTACGTCTACGTGTAGCCCCTGTTTTCCACGCGCGGCTGCGCGCGAACTGTCTACTACAAATATTTTTGTAGTTCTGGCAGTTTCTGCGCCCCCGCGCGCGCTTCCTTGGCTGCTCCTGGGCCGGTGATCATAAAGTTAGTTCGGCGCATTCGACGGCGAGTCGACACTTTCTATTTTTGAGTTTCACTGTCTCCTTCGTCCAGAGTACCGTCTTCCATGCACTCCTTTGAAGTCCTTCCGTCTAGCGCTGGCGCTGACGACTGTTATTGACTATGTCCAGACAGGCGACGTTGTTTGGAAAGGCGGTGAAGAAGCAGCCCTTTTTCAAAACCGCTGGTGACTCTGACATGATGTCACTATGACTCATGGACCAGCACTGATTGAGTTTGTTCCATACATGTATGTGTTGGGTTGTGTGTCCATCAATAATATTTTATTACGGACTGGGGGGGGGGGGGTGAGGAAAAATTTGAAGCTACTACGGATTGGAAAAAACTTTCGATAATTGCGGACGACCCCTAACATAGCTGTTCGCTATCATCGCTTCCGCGATGGGCATGTCTGAGGTCTCAGGTGTGTGTCGACCCACGATCAACAACATCCTCTACACAGGAAACCAAGATTACTTACCGAAACCGTTCCTGGCCAGCCGTGTCCCAAATTTGTAGCTTGATTTTCTGACCACAAACCTCAATGATCCGTGTGCCAAACTCAACACCAATTGTGTGTGGGCAATCCGCCATGACTGCAAACAGCACAGAGACAAGTACAAGTTCACATACAGGTATAGATACACACAAAACCAAGAGCTTACAACCTGCAAGAGTATGCAACTCTGATCTCTTGGCTAGGGGTGCTGTGCGTGCCGCGATGCCCTCAGTACTCAGTGAAGATCAAGATTCAAGGATAAGAAACTTCCTTACGGTTTAGGCGCAACAATCTCATGTGCAATAACAACGATTCAAGCGTAATTACTGTACGCGTAGTATCACGCTCACACACTGTGCTGTACTTGCTCACTGCCAAAACTGGTCAGGTGGGTCTCCCCCCCCCCCCCACGGGAGACACCGAGGCTCAGCTAATGCCCCAATCCGGGGCCTTGTAACATGGACAGTGCAATGTCACACCCTGGGTTTCACACTGTATGTTCTGGGGAAGGCTTATGGACTATCAAGAAGCGCATGCCGAAAAAGCAAAACATTACATCAACAACGTGTAGCCTCACCCTTTGACCATTTCATCCACTGCAGAAAATACAACCACTTCCCCGGTGCCGAAAAAAAAAGTTACCCGCATATGCACACGTATAAAATATACACGATCAGACCACATGGAAGATACATGTAGGACCACATTGCTCGGCGCGGGACGTATTAGCAACTCTGGCGTTAAACTACACGCCGTTAGCATGTTAGCGTCCACACTATCCTCTATAGTACTTGTACCCAGCATATGAAATAATTTATGGTAAATTTTTAAAATTTAGTATTGTACTACAATGTAAATACTGTCTGGAGGAAAGTAAAGGATTCCCGCAGCGGTAAGTTTTGAGTTTTCGCTGTGTAAATATAATATTTCCACGTTTTGCAAGGGCACCCCAGTCCACAGATCATTGTCTCCGAACAGGAAATGCTAAGCGCGTCAAATTATTGAATCCCGTCTTCAGCCGCCCCTCGAAAATACCGCCAACAGCAAAAAGCTAACTATGTAGATGTACACGGTACGGACATTCCCCGCTTATGTTTCCATATCATTAATTCACCTTCTCCAAGACCACGCTGATTTAAATAGTCAGTTGGAAGAAATCTAATATTGCCGCTGCCACTATCTCCTCCTCCCCCGCATGAAAGAGCATGACGGGTCTACCCTCGTTAGTAGACAACTCCGGTGGTTTCAAATTGTTTGTCTTATAACAAGTATTATCTACTATCCGGACGTGAATGTGCGCGTTTCAGGTGTCAGGGGATTTTTGATCGTTGTCTCCTAGTGAGTTTTGCCTTGTAACCAATGTCGTACTAACGAGAGTAGACCTGTACTGAAGAAATATACAAGGCAAGCGCAGTTTAATCTCCTTCAAAATGACAACTGGGCCATGCCTATCCCCAAACTTTTTCTCATTTCCATAAAGGTTGGTGATTACAGGCAAGGCCCAAAAGTAAAAACACAAATACAAAGGTCACAAAGGGAGAAATCACTCTGATTTCAAGTACATCACACAGGCAGGAATTACAAGTGTGGTGTACTACAGTGCTTTCGTATACCTATAATTTTTAATATAGGTTATAACTTTAAATACAGTCGAGTTACTGCAAGTATCAGTTACAGTATTGAAGCCAGCCCCAGGTTTCCGCAGCACAGATATTTCCTGGTACATGTCACCACATTAAAGTACCGATCTACTAGTACAGCTTTCTAAAACCTGGGGTTGTAAGCCAGTCTTGAAAGAGGGAGCAAGAATTTTTAGTGACTCTTACATTTCTTCTCAGTGAATTGGTGAAGAAGACATGATTTGCCAACTCCCATATCACCTACAGACGATCATCACAGAACAAACAATCCCGCTTAGTATCGTCAATTCTCCAGTTCTCCACAGATATGAGTAACCGATCGAGGCTTCTCACCGATGATGATATATTTGAAGATATACGAATAATTGTAAGGACCTGGTCCCGCGGCCATGGCTACTTCAGGGCAATTTCCTCGCACGACAAAGAACTACACCAGGCCTTGCAGCCAAATCCAAGCAAATCTACACGTCAGCCACAGGAGATCTCAGAGGTAGTGGAGATGAAAACAAAGGTAAACGAGCCTTGGCTACAAACGAAAGGGTTGGAAGAAGTCTCTCGCTTTACGCCGCCCTCACTCACAAGCAAACGTAGATCTCCACTGTCATGGAAAGATCACGACACTCGAAAAAACCGAAGCCAAAGCAAGAGAAATGCGGCGCAAAAATGTTTTGCCTACTGGCTGCATGCACTTGCTGTGTGTGCGATCGCGCGAGGCTACAGCATGATCGAGCTTGCACTACGCATGCTGCACCCGTAGATATGCGCATATGCATGCATGACGCAGTAGATCTTCAAGTAAGCACTTGTTGCTGTCAGAGTGTAGAATCTACGTGTGTGTGACTGTGCACTACAATAGTCTCTCAAGTCAAGGCTCATGTCAGTTTTCACTTCGCTCATATCAGCAGGCAGCAGCACTGTCGTGGTGTTGCGGGAACGATGCTGCCGACAGACTGTCAGTGTTGTCGTGTTGGCCAGGGATTACTGCAGTCGGACACAACAATCAGCTACAACCTCACCATAGCCGTTCCAACACTGTTGAATGCTCATTACGGTATTTGAATTTTCCTTCTGTCCCAGTACAACACACTCCAATAACAGTCTTCACGTGACCTAAACGTGCCGTACACATAATCATTAAAAAAAAGACAGATAGAACACCACCGAGCCCAGAAGGCAACCGAAAAAAAACTATAAGAAAGAAGACAGAAATAATGCAATCAAGCACACGGCATACAGTCCAATACTAGTATACACAGTAGAATACTTCACAAGTTCTCAAGGCCGTGGAATACTAGGTACAAAATTTTCAGCAAGAAACACGGGGCTTTATACAACAGCTTATTGGGTTGCCCGGCGACAGATATATGTACAGGAATTATTATGGGTTTCATGATAATTGTGAGCATGGAATTACATGAAGAAAGAACATTCAGTCATGCAACATTTGTGAGATTGGATGAGAAAATATGAACTCTAGAACCAGGTGAAAAGCAATTTGCAATCATCGATGGCAGCACAGTAGTAATTTTTACTCAGGGTGGGATGCACGCATATGTGTGTGCGTGCACGTGTGTGTGTGTACTCAGTCTCAATCACTATCATCCTCACTGCTTGATATTATGTTCTTACTCCTCACTTTCTTCTTCTTCTTTTCGGAAGTCGGACTGTCCTTCTCGACTGCCTTGCGCTTTTTTGGCTTCTCGACAGCAGGTGCCTCTTCTTCGGATGTAGATTGTGCGTCATCCTCATCCATCTCCTCCGCTTCTTCCTCGTCCTCATCACCATCATCGATGAAGCCATCGCCATCATCGTAGCCATCAGCATCTTCATCCTCCTCCTCCTCTTCCTCACTGGAGCCACTGCCACTGCGCTTTTTAGGCTGCTTCTTCGGTTTGCTCTTCTGGGAATGAGACTTCTTGACGCTAGACTTTTTTCCAGATGCGACGCTTCGTTTAATAGCAGATATGCTTGTTTCATCGTCATCATCATCATCATCATCGCCCCTGCCTTCCAGGAAATTCACTGTCGGTCTACTTCTGGTGTAGCTGCGTTCTTTTGATCGGCGCTGCATGTTCTCCAGGCGGACGGCCGATCTCAGGCGGTCCTCTTCCTTCTTCATCATCGCTGTACGGTGCGCATCTGGATCTTTGCCAACAACCGGCAACACGCGGATCTTTTGTGTTTTGCCAAGACGGTCGGCAATAGACATTGTGATCTTGCGATGAGTGTGTGAATCCGTGGAGTGTGGGCGGAAGGTAAGCTTGTTGCGGAACACGGCTTGGCCCTGGAGACCTGTACCCTGCTGGACGAATAGATGAGAGAAGTCACCACTACCCAGCGGTGTCTGGTGGATGTCAAATACCTCAGAGCCAAGCAGTAGTGATGTCGACCCATCAGACCACCTCACAATACGTGCATTACTTTCCCGCTCACGACCCTCCTCATTCAGTGTGTCACCGGATGCGTCCTTCGCGTACCTCCACCGTATAGTATTCTCAATCTTGAGCTTCAGTCTGGACCTTCCCTCCTCGTCTTGTAACTCTTCTTCATCAATTTCTTCGTCATAAAGTTCTGGATCAAAGGCGCGCTGCTCTACACTAAGAAAGTTCGGCATTTTGACAAATGAAATCTGCTCACTCATCATGGTCGGGAAAATAGGCATGTCGGCTTCAATGACGTTAGTGACTGGCTCAATGTCCCCTTCACCGTCTCCATCTTCGTCGTCATCAGGAAATCCAGGAAAGTCCGGATGAGAGAGCTGATTCTCTCCTTCAATGTCAAATCCATGGCCTCCGCCATCATCGTCATCCTCCATAGTCGCTCGGTTATATCTCTGGGTTTGAGATGCACTATCACTAGCCTGGGACGGCATGGCATTCCCACCATCAATGTTGTCATCATCACTTCCATCTTCAGATTCGCTTGTGGATATATCGTCAGCATCACCAAATAAATCTTGAGAAGTGACATTTACACCGGTGTCGGGCTGAGTCTCTTCACGTCGTGGCGATGGTGACTCGTCCGATGAGACATCAGGAACAAACTCATCTTTTTCCTCTTCGCTTGAAGACATCCTAACACTCTGCAACAAGTCAGGAGTGAGCTAGTAGTTCCCAGCACTAGCTAGCTGCAGGGAGATATTTTCAAAGTCAATTTATTTGATGTACCAAATCATGCAGAATCGCTTTTGCATTTGTGCAAACAAAAAGAAGTGGACAAATAAAAGTTACTTTGTCAAAAATGATAGCGCTAGCGAGCTAGCTAGTGTTGAAGGCGCATAGATCTACGCTGTATATGTGGTGACGTACAGCGCGGCAGCGGTCCTGCTCAGCGCTAGCGGCAGGCCGGCGCGCCGGGCCCGCGGGGTAACGAGAAAAGACACTTGCCCGGCTGACATGCTACCACACAACATAGAGTCCACAATAATAATGCATGCTGCGCTGGGTGTTTCAACGTCTCATGATTCATGAAGTCAAGAAGAGTCAGGTCTTGAGAATTTCGAATATGAATTGCTAGACATGTACCTTTTGATAAATCGATGAATGTTCCTGGCGTAACCAGAACCTGCATCCCCCCAACGTTTATGATATCTCTGGAAGGCAAGCACAATGAGTCACCATCTCAGATTCATCAAGAGAGCTGACGTCTTGTTTAGATCAAATCTACGAGGTCAGTCGCAGTTTTAGTGTTAGTTTCAAGATTTCAGCTGGAAAATATAAAATTTCCATGTATCTATCCATGAGAATGGTTCGAAAACCCTTTTGAACAGTCTTTTGACTGAATAATGAAATTTACAAAATTGTCGCTGTGTGTAACCAGTGTATAAATAATCAGGTTTACAGTACAATACTTATACAGTCTGTATCGGCTATTGACCGGACATAAGAATATATCGGCTACAGTGATATTGGTACGAAATATCAAAAGCAAAACGTATTTTATCCAGTAAAAATATCACTATAACCAATATTATCTGATGTAATGATATATCGGATATTATGATGGCAACAAAGAATCAAAACATGCATAACACACGATACTATTATCGGCTATAGTGATAACTTTAAAATACATGTAGCAATAATTATCAAAGTCCCTATTTTTTTACTTTCTTCACGTTGCTTATTTTTATAGTGATACATGTACATGTACATAACAGAATTTTGTTATGGAAATGCGGCCCGGCACTGCCAACTATGCAGCTGGAAGTATTTCCTTGCCGTTCATGTGTCGATCGAAAAAATAATAATAAAAAATAAAAAATCAATCGTATCGCATATAGTGATGCATCGGTTATAGTGATAAAATCACGGAAATCAAAAGGGTACGCTGTAGCCGATACAGACTGTATGATCACCATGTAGGCAGCTTTTAATACATTTCCCTCAGCTCTTGTACTCACAGATTGCTCCTAGTGATTTTATCATGTTAACCCGGCATACGTAGCCCAGCTCTGGCGGAACTTTCCGAAACAAAATGTGTGTACGTCGCAGTAGCATATCTGGCGCCCATGCACGTGCAGTATACGCATGTACGCCAGGTAGGCCCCGGCGGATAATGCTCGGGAATTAGGCCCATTCTGCTTTTCATTATGCTCGCATTCTGCTCGCAAAACACCCACATTCTGCTCAATTCTGCTCCATGTCAGTGATGACATGTACATTAGAGTATTACTTGAACTTCATTATAGATCAATGTAATACAATAGACAAGTTCCTCTTTTCTTGTACAAGTGGTGCGGCAAGAATTTTAAAGCAGAGGAATGCCTTTGGTGTTTTACAGATCTAGAGGTCAGCAAAGTAGGAAATAGACCTGCGAGGTGTGTGACTCCATACACTTGCTGTAGCACAGGTGATCATTATGCAAAATCATGAGACAGAAAAGATTACAGTCACCTTAGAATGAAATTGGAAAAGATCAGGGCATTGTATGTGTGTTGGGTGGAAGCCAGGGAATGCCCAGGGTTTCATGCATTACACATTCAAAGAAATACATATTGACAAAAGTTACAGGTTGTTGTGTACTGCACATGGAACAAGTCAGTGATTGTAACATGGTTCATACTTTGGGTCTGTGGATAACGCGGAGTATGGAATATAACAGTTCATACCTGACAGGTTCATATGTTGGGACTAGATAACGCTGAGTATGGAATATAATAGTTCATACCTGGCAGGTGAAACAAGTTCATGCATTGGGACTGGATTATGCCGGGCATGGAAAACTTCACATCAGTTCCCTTGCCGGATAGTGGGATTTACTCCATGGCCAGGCGACCCCGATTGTATTGCAGCATAAGTGACGCCTCCAGATGATCTCCCAGTAAACTCGTCTGCTGTGAGTTGAAAGAAGCTTGTACAAGCGAGAACACTCTCTCTGCTGGGGCAGAGGATGGAAGCAATGCAAAGACAATCTTTGCTGCCATGCTGGAAGGTGGGTTTGCTGTGCCCACCATTTCAAACGCGGGGCATCTTCACTGATCACTGCGTCCACAGCCGCAACAGCGTATGCAGGAAGCTCTTCTGTCAGCTGCGCCATGATTTCATCGGAGTCGAGAGCAGGAACAACACGTAGGGCTGCTATATCGTCCACTTGCAGGTCGAGCCCTCTCGCTATCTGTGGGCAGAGAATGCGCACGGCTTTGAAGAGCTGCACTTCCTTGAACATTGGCGTGTCTTGTTTGTTGAACTTGGTTCTGAAATACTGGACAGCAGGTGCAACACAGGCCTTAGCAAGGGTTAGCAATGCTTGCTTCTCCACTGCGTTCTGCCCAGCAAGCTCTGCAGCGACTGCAGCTGTTTCCGGGTAGTTCTGTAAGGCCATAGCGGTGCAAATCTCTTGCAGGTGACCATAAGCCTGGACGATGAGCTCACCATCACCCTCCAAGAGGTAGGTCTTCTTGACAAGGAGCTTCCCAACGTCAACAGTGATGGCCAACTGCAGACGGAGCACTTTGAGTTGCTCGGGATCATCAAGGATTCTGCGGGCATTGGCAGAAGTGGTTGGGCTGCTTTCCAGGGCGTCCAGGAATGGAATGACGTGCTCAAAGCATCGATGCAGTTGATGAAGCACCTCCCACCAGATCCACCACCGTGTGCACGAGTATGTCTTGATGCTCTCTTTGGTTAGCGTCTTCCATTGAATTCTGGATGCAGGGCTGTGTGAAAACAGGGACACCCACAGGCGTAGGAAGGAGTCCAGGAGATCTGTGTCAAAATGCCGGCCAATGTTGTCCAGAGAATGAGCCACACAGACGAGATCGGATATGTTCGGGTACACGAAGTCGGTGAGATACCCAACTGCTGCCCTGTTGACCGAAGCGCCATCCCGGATGGTGGAAATCACCCTTGCCGGTGGGTATTGGAGCTCTGTCGAGAGGGTAGCGATGACTTCCTTGGCAAGTTGCTTGCCCGTCATGCTCTTCGCCAGGACATGCACGCGGACGAGGCGCTGGCAGATCTGGAAGTTCTCGTTTACGTAGCGTAGAAGGATTACCAACATTTCGCCTTGGTACGTGCTCCCATCAAATATAATGCTTATGTAAGGCTTCTCCTTCAGCTCATCCTTTAGCGTGGCCTGCTCGTTCTCCAGTATGAATGGTACATATGAGGCGAGATGAGTGGAGTAGGTCAAGCGGTCCGAATCTTCCTCCAGCAGTGGGCGGAGGATGTCTACTTTGGCAAGAGGGATGCCAGCCTTCATCATTGCCGTTGTCGTTTCAATCCTCCGCATTCTTTGCTGAGCTGGCACGGCAGCAGTCAACCCAGTCCCTGCAAGGTCGTGGCGCTTTACGTATGCCTCCCAACTCTGGGCAAGTCGCTGCTGTCGAATACCCTGTTGCCGTTGCCTTTCTTTTCCTGCCTCGTGTTTATCACTTCCGACATGATCCTTCACAATGCTCTTCTTCAGGGCAAGTGTACTCTTGCAGGCTTCGCAGTATAATTTACCGGACGAGACGACGAGCATCTCGTCTGGAAATTCCTCCACTCGCTGGTGTGAGCTAACATTCACTTTTGTGCTGCCGCCTAGCGACACCCGGGTTCTCTTTGCCCCTGAGGCAACCACATCCTTTTTTGCGGACGTCCGTTTCATAGACCTTACACGGGAGATTTCAGCTTCCTCCGCTATGTCCAGGCTTTGCCACTCTTCGCCAGACTGGCCTTCCGTGTCCACTGGTGTATCATCTTCGTCGTCAAGAATATCAACAATTATAAGATCTTCTTCGGCGGAATCGAAGTCGGCTGATCTGTCACGTACATCACCGAATTCCGCCATTGCCGCACACAGAGCATATCAGGGTCGCAGGTCAAGACACTAAATTACCAGCCCACAATTCAACATCCAGGCAATGGTAATGAACTAAAGTACAACAAAAAGTAAAACATTAATATCCCTTTACAGTAGAACATCGATTATCCCGCGATCTGGCCTTTCCATTTCTGAAGGCACCAGCCCAAATTTGGGCTAAAATGGCATGTAACGATTCACAAGGTGTTGCAAAACTCCTCTATAGAGCTTATGCATACCCGTCACGTGGTCATGAACAACGACCAAAAATGTCCAAGTACAGTGAGTCTGAGCTGAGGCGAATCTTCGAACGTCCAGGGAGCCATACACGAGACCGTCCTGATTACCAAGGACTCCCAAATAGGCACCAAAACTGCAAAAGGTCCGTTACGGATACCGAAGCTGAGTGGCATGACGTCACGTCGACGTGCATAAGCTCTGCGTACTGAGAACTACAGTGCTCCGTTCTGCTCGTCTAGTGCTCGGTTCTGCTCGTCTACCGCTCTGCTCGTTTAGTGCTCGGTTCTCAGCTCGTCTACATTTGTAGTGCTCGGTTCTGCTCGTCTCATGCTCCGTTCTGCTCGTCTGGTGCTCCGTCTGCTCGTCTGGTGCTCCGTTCTGCCCGCCAATTGCCTCATTCTGCCGCATTCTGCTCCGATTTTGAAACCCCTGATTCTGCTCGAAATTCTGCCGGCATTATCCGCCGGGGCCTAACGCCAGGACACTAGGACTGCGGTAGATGCAAGTGAACTGCGAACCCCGTATTAAAACAAGAGATTCAAAGTTTGCATACGCTGTCATATTTATCAGTGAATTTATTTTTACTGAAGTATGAGACTGCGGTGTGTTGTTAAAGTGGACAGCAGGGAGTCGTGGCATCTAGGGAGACGGCACGGATGATCGGAAAATGAACTGATGTGGGTTTTGCTCCCGGGCTGCCTGTTCAAGTTGCCCTTGGGGCAGGGCCAATTAATAATTCACGCTCGCAATGGTATTGCTGGTCGGGGCACGCTTGGCCCGGAAGGCCGATATCGTGATCACGAGCTGCATAGACCACGGACTATGGAGAACTACCAATCGAAATGCATGTCGTTTTGGGTCCTTAGTTCTCGTTTTGTCTTCCTAGATGCTACGACACCCTGGTATGCACTTACCTAACGTTAGGTTTGCCTTAAAGAGGCATCAGTCACACATTTTTATAATTATATCATTTATTTTACTCAATCTGTGCATCATTTATTTGATTGAGAAGCACAACCTACAAAGATGAGGACAAATAACTAGTACAATAGCACCGCCCTGAACGCCGGCAAGAGAATAAGCTCCCAAGAGTGTGCAACTCTGTATATTGAGGTCTCCGACGGCGAAAACTCACATTACGTGTTCCAAGTACGCTTTGTACATTGTACTACAGTAAAACCTGGTGTAAGCGACCTCTCGTTTTAACGACCACCTGCTCTTAACGACCGTTTTTCCATGCACGGACAGTTCTACACAGACACTGTGGGACCTGGTTCTAAAGACCACCTGGCTTTAACGACCGCTTTTCCTTGCACCATGGGGTGGTCGCTTAAACCAGGTTTTACTGTACTTCAAGAAGCACATGTATGTACAATAAAGGTCACTCACTCAGCATGCGCGTAGTCTGGAAAGCTGCCATGATCATGTCGATGACTCGCATGACCTTAGTGGGTTTCTTTCAGGGAGTACTAACTTATTTCAACCACTCGACTTCTCCCTGACAGCAGACTGAGATCGTACAACGTTTTATACACAACACCACGTGATGTGAGTTTTCACCATTGGCAAGCTCCATAGAAATCCCGTGCAGAGTTGTACAATCCATACGCATGGTACTGGTATGTCATGGTGTCGATAAGAGCGCTGTTTAGCGAGCTCGCACGGGTGCACAGAAAACCGGCCTTTGTACTTCAAAGTACAGATGGTTGGAATTCATGGTCAAGTATAGTCTGGCACTTGAGATGACCTAGAATGGAAGCTCTCTAAAGGCAGGTGGTCTTTAGATGCAGGTGGTCTTTAGATGCAGGTGGTCTTTAGATGCAGGTGGTCTCTAAGGCAGGGGTTAGTAAACACTGGCTACACCATAGATTTTGCTCGAGCATATGCGTGTTATACTTTTTCATTATCGTTGCTTTATGATTAGGTGGACAGGGAAGGCAAAAGTGGATTTGCTGCTGTGTACATATCTATCGCTTAGTCCAAGGATTAAACACGGTCTACAGTCCATTCATTGGAAACTGGCACCCTAACTTTTTGGTGTCTCTCTCACATAGTTGTAGATATCGTGAAAACAACAGTACATCCTGCATTGTGTGACCCGTGCAATTACTCCTTGCCACATTTGAGGCCAGAAAAGTCCAAGAACAGGGAAATAGAAATTCAGCCAGGTTTTACAAAATTAGGACAGGTATGCCATGGCAAAATGTATGGAGAAGCAGATCCAAAACCCAGATTTTTGAGATCTAAAGTGGGTTTTTGATCCTCAATTCGGTCCAAATCCGACTTTCAAAAGCCGGCGGGCCAGTTTCCGATGAATGGACTGTAGTCGGTTTTTAGTAACTTTTTACATGCAAGCCTTTCTTCTTCCAAGGAGTGTCCGAACACGAACGCATACAGCTACATACAGCTATGTTTCTACTTGGTATTGGTGTGGATGTGTACCGCATGATGCAATCGTATGTGCAGTCATCTTCCGAGAGCTAGCGCATTCAATTCAATTTCCGACGCTTATGGCCACACCTGTCTTTCTCATTCTCCTAGGTGGTTACCATAGTTACCAGAAGTCAGTGCACACCGAAGTATATACTGTATGTGATGTACGTGTGTGCGCGCACACACGCCCACTCATAGCCTGGCGTAGATCAGTCTAAATAGTAGTAAAATTAATAGTAGCATTGGATTGTTCAGCCTTGCAGGCTGTTGAATGCTCGTACCTGTAGTGCAATCCCACCAGAAGTTGTGTCGACTTCTGCTGTATAGCATCACTATCATCACCTCTGGCAATGGGCGTCTAAGGTGTGTGGGTGCGTGCGTGCGTGCGTGCGTGTAGTGTTAGTGAAGCTTATATCAGATCCACTCTGATTTAGCCACCCACACTAGTACCAAGTATTACCTTCACTGGGGGCAGGGGTAACTGCAGTTGGATCCCGGGACGGATACCCTGATGCCGTCAAATTTTTTTCTGCACCTTGTCCTCACTAGGCCCAGACAGATTCTGCTCAGCTCGCCTCGATATTTTGCCACAAAATGTTGCTGCGAAATCTTCGATATTTTGCCGAGCCTGGCACAAGAAACTCGATATTTTGCTCCATTTTGCTCCGGAAAAACGTGTATTTTATCCTCGTCCCGTACAGTCCCGTACAACGTTTCATAAAAATCGCAGAGTCGGTTTCTCAACACGGGTTTCCACCACGTGTCCCTGAGTTCTTCCACAAGTCATATCGATCCACAGTGAATCCCAGTGATATTTCGGTGACATGATCTCGTTCTGGGCAGTGTATCCTGCTCAACGGGTAAGAAACAAAGGAATCCAAGTATCAGGCATCGATTTTACCCAACATCTCGATATTTTGCCGATTTTGCCGGCAATTCCCGCTTTTTCAATTCTTCGATATTCTGCCGAAAGAATTGCCGGCAGGATCTGTCTGGGCCTAGTCCTCACCCACTTACTGAGGTGTGGTGAGCCCGTAAGTGGGATCATTTGCAAGTCCACCCATAGTTTGGGGATTTCAGGGGGTGTCGGCCGTTGGGCGGTTCAATAGCCAGTTGAGTCCTCTTTCCAAGATTCCTTTTGAGTTCCTCTCTCCCCTCTCCCGGGGAGACCCACGTGGCCACTTTTGGCAGTGAGCAAGTACAGTACAGTACAGTACAGTACAGCGTGTGTGTGTGTGTGTCTGTGTGTGTGTGTGTCTGTGTGTGTGTGTGTGTCTGTGTGTGTTCGTGTACATAGGCACTCAGGCACACGTGTGTCCCCAATGCCGGCAGTTCTTCTCCTCGCGGAAGACGCAGGGCAGCCCACGCAACTCGAACACTGGCCAGAGTGATAATGGCGAGAGCAAAGAGGAGACATGGACATTCCTGGGCTTTTCGTGGCCAAAGCTGGAGTGGAGTATGATTCCGACCAGTGTCGGGTTTGCCTGCATCGGTGTGTTGGCGTTCCGTCGGTCCCAGGAGCGACACGAGCGCAATCGAACCCGAGCAGAGGAGACGGCAACCATATACAACGGAATAGAGATTGACAGCTGGAAGGTAAGAAAGCATTTGCCGTGCACAGGATATCGTGCTCACCATCGCCACACTGCTGGGGTGCTGCTGGCTTGTGTGATCTAGAATCAGTGGTATGAAAGGCTGGAAAGTTGAATGGAGATTGATCGGATCAATGTTGCTTTCTTGCCATTTCCCTTGAAGCCTTGCCATGGAGTATATGTGTTATAGGGCTTTAACATTGCTCCGGTGTCGTGAGCCCTATTCAAGCTGTCTAAAACAGCCACATGTCCAATGCATGTAGTCAGCTGCCTTGCCGAATTAGGCACTGGCGTTCTCTCAAGGTTGCCTTCCCCAAGGATCCGTTCTTTCTGTCTATCATTGAGCCCTCTTCAGGCTGTTCGCCAGACTTTTTTTCAATCTATCTATCAGTCTGTCTGTCTACCGCACTCGCACAATTTGTGCCCACAGGACACTATTTTTTTTCAAGTCCATCACAAACGGGGCACTATTCAAGAGAGGGGTCACTTTTCCCATTGCTAGTACATTCACGTCATCCAGCGTTAACCCTTTGCTGCCCATTAAAATGTATACATTTTCGGCATAGTCAGACCAGCAGGAAGAAAATTACTCATAGCTCCAACACGAAGCATAGTGTCAAATGTAAACCTATATATTTCTGGAACCAGTATATCCCTAGGAATCTAGCGAACTCAATTTGATCGACATGTCGCTTTTTCAATGCTCTGTCGAACCGATAGACGTGTGTCGGTTCAAGTATGCGTGGGCAGCAAAGGGTTAAAACGAAGAAGGCAACGTAGAAGGACAGAGTCTAAATTGTACTCTAAACTATCACAACTCTACAGAAACTGCAGCAAGAACTGCGATTTGGATTCTAAAACCACCAGTGCAATGACATGGACAAGAACGTCGGCACACCACCACCAATACAGACTTGCACATGCACTTGATTGCAAGCCGCCAGGGGAGAGGGGGTCACTATTCAAGAGAGGGCTTTATTTCTTTGTCGGCTCAGAGACAGGGGCCAGTGGACAGGGCCAGTGATACAACACTCACACTGCAATGGCACAACCAAGTCCTTTCCCACCATCTACTTGAAGTACATGTATCTACTTCGAGTAGATAGAAACGGACCAAATGCGCTTCCCGAATCCCTTCGCACAAATCATATCCCCAATTCATTTCGCCAGGAACTTAACAATTTCATTCATCTTGGGTACCCTATAAGAAGACCTTAGGGTCTGTTGGGAATGCCCAAGTAAAAATAATAAAATACAATACAAAAAATACATATCATTTGAGAAGTCAACATGATTAACTACTACTACCCCAGGAATGCACCAAATTGGCTGGCAATAATTCCAGTATTACTGGAGACCAGAAAGAAAGAAAGCCATTAAAACAGGGGGGGGGGGGGTAGGTTGCACATTATTGCTAATATGCAGACCCCTGTGTGCACGTAACGACGCCGGGATATGGTGATCGCACAGCATTGCTCAGCGCAGCAAAGGGTGTCACCAAGCATCTGCTGTTTTCCGCATCGAATGTGGATCTTGTTCTGTGCTTGGCAGTACACAGACTTGATCCAACCCGTGCTCGGTTGCCCAAGCCTGGCATATCTCTCCTATGATAGGTCTGCGGCAGCCTGACTGCACTCTCCTGAATGTCAACACTGACAGCAGCCACTCACTTCCCGGGCATGATATTTGTGTATCTGCAATGTGGTGTTTACCTGCATGGCCGAATGTGCATGCTAGCACGTCATCTTTGTTTGATTGTTGACAGCATGGGAAGGCTGTGTGATACTAGTATGTCATTCTGCCACAGCCACTGCTTCTTTGACGTCAATGCATAATATTATCTCTAGTCTAAGCCTGGGTTTGTGACGGATATGATGATGTACTACCATGCTACTGGTGTTGTTGACATGGCAATCACTATGCTGACTGCTCACATGATATACAGCCTGTTCCACACTCACACCAGCAAAGCCTGCACTGGCTAGTGTAGTGTAGTAGGTCAGGGACTTGTCAAAGTACTCACCGACCAGTACAGGCTAGCTGATAAGAGACATGATCTTGGCTTGGTGACATCTCTGCCTGGGTGGAGGATTTCTGGTGCTGGCAGCTCTGCCTTCCACTCAGATTGTTTTCCAATCCCAGGACCTCCTACCTGCAGTTTCGTACCAGTGCCCGCAATGTTTGCCTCAGCAGTACTCCTGATCTTTCCCTACATTATCAGTAGGGCTCAAACGGTTAGTCCGATTAACCGGTTGCAGACCGGTTACGAAGAATGAACGGTTAACCGATAAAGATAGCGGTTACGCAGTAACTTTTCAGTCAATTTGTCAAGTATCAGGTCGTTGCAAAGTATGCACTTTCGCAGGCTGTCGCACGCGTAGGCAATGTCTGGGCTGTCAACTCGGTCATATCTGGTCTCTTGGTGTAAGAGTATGTATGAATGAGCATGCAAGAGAATGTACATGTGTGCGTTGTACTGAATAGGGTACATTTTTGGAATGAGTAAGAGTCCGCAGGATTGCCGTGGCTTATAGGTTATAACCGTTAAACCGACCGTTAGCTTAGCAGTTAACCGTTCGGGGTAAAACCGTGACCGTTTGAGCCCTAATTATCAGCTACATGACCGTACATACTGGTCATTCCCAAGGGTGCAGGTACCACCACCACCTCTTACCTACCGGTATACCATAGAACGTAGATCTACGGTAGGAGCTCATTCCTTCCTTCATCCTCATCCAGCATACGATGTTGAGCGTTATGTCTCTGTGGGTTACTGGTGCAAACTGTCACATAGAATAAACCTACACGATGACATACACATGTCTGGCAGTGTTACAGTCTGGTCTGTCTCTTTTCTTCTTCTTTTTTGATCTCCGGCCATTTGGCGCTCAGTACCTACTACCGGTACTTCAGTTCAACTTCAAATGGCGAAGCTATGATATTTTTAGACTTACACGAAGTCGAGTCACATTCGCAGTACATGATGTAGTCGCAATCCATGGGCATCAGGCTGTACGTCCGTGACATGCATCGACGTGCCACACCATTCCGTGCCAGGTACTAGTTTCGGCGGACCTTCCGCGGTCGTGACCGTATCTCCGACGAAGGCGAATCCTCGTGGTCCGAGCCGCAAAGATTGTGAGACCGTTCAGAACCAGGTACGGCTCGGCACGCCATTGGCCGAAGCGAGTGGTTCACTTTCAGTGATGTATCTCTGACGAGGCATGATATTCTCTAGTCGCTGCTGCTGCTGCGTCCTCCGAACGCGAGTCCAGAGAGGAAGGTATAAATTGCTCGCTCTTTGGAACTTTTCCCAGTTCGCTCTTAGCTTTCGCTTTAAAACTCTAACAAAACAAGGAAAGTCCCAGCTGCAGCTGAACTATACTATTAGTAGTTCTTGACCGTGTCGAACTAGAAGATGCTTACCAAGGTTTTCTTGGTGCTGGCTTTCGTGGCCGTGGCATCGTCCGCTCCCAGCCCTCCTCATGCTCAACAGACGCATCATCGACCACACGGCGATTCCGACCGCGAAGTGCGCCGGAACGGTTCCCATCATGTGATAGACCCGGTCGATCAGCATCGTGGTGACGTCGGAGAGCCGGGCCCAGTCGATCTCGGAAACGGCCCTGCTGATCATCATCAAGGCCGCACTGATGCCGGCGACGAAGCATCGATCGCCGGGTTGGTCGAAAACGAGTCGGAGAAGGAGATTCAATATGGAGCAGATAGCGAGGAGCCGAACGTTGGTGCTGGAGAGGCGAGCTTCCGGTACGATGAGGAGGGCGACGAAGAAAGAACACTGGAAACCGTCGAGGACGAGTCAGAGGAGCCATGGGAAATAAACGACAATGGCGAAGAAGGCGAGTGGAACGAGTCACAAGGCAAAGCCGGTCGCCATCGCTTGTGTCGCGGTCGTAGGGGTCGCTGCATCTGCCGTGTGTTGCGCATCATCCACCGTCAGGAACGCCCTGGCCCTCTCGAGGAGAATGATGCCGTTGAAGACTACTCGGATCAGTTCAGCGAAGTAAGAGACGAAAACGAGAATGACTGGGAGATGGATGCTGAACCGGAGCCACATCGCCCCGGAGATGATGAGGAACAGGATGGTGAGCGCCGTCGTATCTGTCGTCGCGTTGGCAATCGGCGCGGCTATCGCATTTGTCGCATCATCCGTATTATTCGCAAGCACTGCCGGAACAGCAAGAACAAGTCCCCTTGCTGTGGACGTCGAGGGGATCGCTCTGACGGCCCAAAACGCACTGATGCCGGCGACGAAGCATCGATCGCCGGGTTGGTCGAAAACGAGTCGGAGAAGGAGATTCAATATGGAGCAGATAGCGAGGAGCCGAGCGTTGGTGCTGGAGAGGCGAGCTTCCGGTACGATGAGGAGGGCGACGAAGAAAGAACACTGGAAACCGTCGAGGACGAGTCAGAGGAGCCATGGGAAATAAACGACAATGGCGAAGAAGGCGAGTGGAACGAGTCACAAGGCAAAGCCGGTCGCCATCGCTTGTGTCGCGGTCGTAGGGGTCGCTGCATCTGCCGTGTGTTGCGCATCATCCACCGTCAGGAACGCCCTGGCCCTCTCGAGGAGAATGATGCCGTTGAAGACTACTCGGATCAGTTCAGCGAAGTAAGAGACGAAAACGAGGATGACTGGGAGATGGATGCTGAACCGGAGCCACATCGCCCCGGAGATGATGAGGAACAGGATGGTGAGCGCCGTCGTATCTGTCGTCGCGTTGGCAATCGGCGCGGCTATCGCATTTGTCGCATCATCCGTGTTATTCGCAAGCACTGCCGGAACAGCAAGAACAAGTCCCCTTGCTGTGGACGTCGAGGGGATCGCTCTGACGGCCCAAAACGCCGCCCTCACCGCCCCGATGTACCAGGTCGCCGTCCTGAACGTCCTGGTAGTCCCAATCGTCGTCCACAGCGCCCCGACGATGGACCAGATCACCGTCCCCGCAAACACCCTGGTAGTCCCAACCACCGTCCACAGCGCCCTGACCGGGAGCCAGACCGTCGTCCACAGCGCCCCGATGATGGACCAGATCATCGGCCAGATCACCCGGATCGCTTCCCAGGACACCCCGATGGCCCAGATCACCGCCCAGATCACCCGGATCGCTTCCCAGGACACCCTGGTAGCCCAGATCACCGCCCAGATCACCCGGATCGCTTCCCAGAACACCCCGGTCGGCCAGATCACGGTCCTGGACACATTAATTTCGGCCCAGATGGCCGCCATGATAGCGGCCCAAACCACGGGGACCATCCTAGCCAGCCAGCTGATTCGAGCCACGCAGGCGGAAGATCTGATGGAAGGCCCGAGCATATGGTTTGAACGGCGTGAGTGCAATTCAGTACACCCTCGCTTATCCAGATTTCACTTGTTCGCACTCTGTTTATCCACACTTTTATAAAGTTATCCACATTTCACTCATCCACATTTCACGTTATCCATGGCTTAGCGCTTATTTGCAGTTTTCTATTGAACAGAACAGTGCAGCTGAGGCAACACTTACTGAACTAATTGACTCTATTGAGCAGTGGTGGCTTAGATCTGCTTGTAACGAAGCATGAAGTTTCACTTCTCTTCCGCCCTATCCTCCATGTCCATGCATATTTTGTGGACTTCTTCCCTCAGAGGGTTGGATAAGCGAGGAGCTACCGTGCATGTATCTCACCTACGCGCAGCATGTTTGCCTTCACTGCTCTTCGTTATTTGTCATCTTGACATTGCAAACTTTATGCTCATAGAGTATGTTATCTCTCCACCTCTATAACACAACAGCAACATATTTGATTATCCTTCTTCCTATTGTTTTCTGAGAGTGCAAGGCTGTGTAGCTGTATGACGTACATATTCACGTAGAGTAGGTTTATGCTTGTCACTGAAATCCTTATAGTGGCCATCATGTTCCTCTGGTCTTTCTTGCGTCTCTCACCTTCATTCTGTTTTTTTCAATAACCTTCCCTTGTTTGGTGCACCGGACTTTGCCAACAACGAATCTATTGAGTATTCTTCAATGTGTTTTATATTCCCATCTCGAACTTTACCATCAGATCTTTTCAGGCTACTGCATTGAAGTGTGAAAGGGGAATTGCCTCCATTACTGGCCAAGAATCGTGGCGATGCCATTGATGGGTTCTGTCCCATTCCCGAGATTCTCCTCCGTGGTAATTTCAGCAAATATTTTCTGTAACAGGGATTGCTTGCATGAAAACAAAGTTTATCATTCTACTTGATAATCGATACCAATGGCGCTACCTGTGTACGCGACTTTTACACACCATGTTTTCCTAGGGCCGGCACGTTCGGGCTCTCCGCCTTCTCCGTGAAAATAATAATATAAAAAAAGGTTCTGCGTTCCGGCTCTCCTCCTTCTCCGCGAACAAAAGAAAACTAGAGGAAAACAAACAAACCCAAGAAGCAAGAATGACAAGAAAAGCATAAATGTACGCGACTTTTGGCACCCTAGTACACTGCAGTATAGCCTCAAAGTACTGCTGTGGTATGATGGGGTGTTTACTAAGTAATATGTTACGTGTGCTTTTTATGTCTTTCTCAGGGGAAGAAATGGCAAGATATGAAATCAAAGTTTGAGGGAGTTGAAAAAGAAATATTTTGAAAACATAATTGTATTGACTCTATGGAGCCATTGTGGCGAACGAAGGCCATCATTCCCATCTTGGCTTTGCAATGCATCCTTGGTGTATTTTAGTAATACTAAGTACTCCCTTTTACTTCTCAATAATTATGTCTCTTTTTGAAGCGGAGCAACTTGCCTCAGACAGAACGCACTGGCTCGACGTTGTCGACAGATGCATGACCCTCATTTGATTTTTCATATGAGCTATATGCGTGCTGTATTATTAAGTTCTCACTTTAGTTTTAGTTAAAGTATGCCAGAAACCAGGGTGTACTTCAAGCACAGTAAAGCCTGTCAAGGCGACCACTCGGATAAGGCCACCACCTGTCCAAAAAGACCACTGAAACCAGAATCAAGGAATGCTATTTCCAGTCAAATGACCCTGGATAAGGAGACCGCCTGGTAACAGAGACCACATTTTGAAGGTCCCTCGAGCGGTCATCCTGGACAGCTTTCACTGTAATATTAGGTGGTCCTATGTCTGCTGGAAACTTCCACCTTTCTCTCTGGCATGTGTGTTTTGACTGTTTTCTACCATTCAGATCCAAGTGGGCACCATTCTACCAACGCGTATAATGTCGCGAGCATGGGGCTGGCTGTCGTCGTTGCACCTGCCGGTGTGGGCACGCCGCCCTCTGCTCGGCCTGTATGCGCGCGTCTACAGCTGTGACATGAGCGAGGCGGTGGAAGGCGAGGACTTGGCGCAGTACGAGAGCCTGCTGGCGCTGTTCAGCCGCAACATCAAATCTGAACTGCGGCCCATCGGTGACAAACACCCGCTGGTAAGCTGACAGGTAGATTAGGTAATCCTACTTCCGTAGATAGAAAACAACCCGTCAGAACAGTATATCGATCATGTAGATCTACAGCTTGAGCAGGTTCAGTTCAGTGTTCAGAGTTCAGCATGAAGTTATTGGTTCACTTAGAAGTTAGAACATTATCAGCTTAGGGAAGAAAAGTTAGTCCCAGTCCCTGTGCACTCCAATGAGTGATTATGTAAAGGAAGGAGTAGTCTGTTAACCCCGGGTTGAGGGAGGCCGTATGCGGCACATACACATCTTCCACCGTATTGCATTGATGAAAGAAATAGTGGTGACAGCATGAGCTCTGACTTTGAGACTCTCTCGTATGTTCTCGATCAGGTTTCGCCCTGCGACGGAACCATTGCGCACGTCGCCAAGATGGACGAGCGGCACATGGTGGAGCAGGTCAAGGGCGTTAGCTATCCAGTACAGGCACTGTATGGACCCAGCATTGGCCCCAGTCTCTCCTCTTCACAGGACGCGGACGAAGGCGGCAAACGTGATGGCATGCACCTCTACCAGTACATCGTCTACCTGTCACCGGGAGATTACCATCACTATCACTCGCCAACTACATGGGCCGTGCACCATCGGCGGCATTTCTCTGGTGAGACTTCTTGTGCGCAGTGTAGGTCACGTTGGTGTTTAGATGCATGTCGGTTTGCTTGCCTGGGTAATGCGTTCCGTACTCCGGGTATTTTGTACACAAATGTACGTACACATTTTTACACACACACACACATCAACACGCAGAGTTGCAGACACACGCATACACACACACATACACACACACGCACACACACACACACACACACACACACACACACACACACACACACATACACGCACACACACACACGCACATTCCCTGTCCAGGCCTTCCTATCTCTCTCTCTCTCTCCAGTCAAATAAACACTGTGCTGCTTTGTTCAAGTGCATCTGTGTACTACTTGTACAACATACCGGTATAACAGTTACAGTGCTGCTCAATGAAATCCGATTGTGTGAATCAAGTTCGCGCCCTGGGCCAGTTCACATCGCAGTGTTTGCAGGTCTAGGGCTGCACAGCGCCCGGCGTGGCATTCACTCGCTTGATCGGATTTGACTCAGCAGCAGTGTCCATGACAACGTACATGTACACTGCTTCCTGGTTTTTTTTTGTCGCTGCACGCTCACGTAGGTGAACTTCTTCCCGTAGCCCCGCCATTGTTCAAGAGAGTCCCCGGCCTGATGGCACTCAACGAGAGAGTGGTGCTAACTGGTACATGGCAGCATGGCTTCTTCTCCATGATTGCCGTCGGTGCACTCAATGTTGGCTCGATGAAGATCGCGTTTGACAAGGTGAGTGTTCTTGCCTGTATTTTTTTTTAAATATCGTTCCCACATGTGTTGCGGCTAGTCTAGGTTCGCTGTTCGATAGTGTGAAGCTCCTTCTCAATCTGCAGACGGCTAGTCAAATTGTCAACATAATGCCCAGGTTAATACATTATGAGGCAACGGTTCGTCTTAAAACTACCGGTAGGGCTTGTATGTAACCCAAACAGGGTTCTATACGAGACAGGCTTCTTTATAGCAGCCGGCACAGTAGGTACTTTGTTGTGGCAGGGTGAACCAGCTGCTGCGATGCTTGGCGGCTGTATATGTCCAGCACTAGTGAGCACGGCACCACACTCCTCTCCTCGCTTGTTCTTGACTGCTTGTGCTCGCAGAACCTGGAGACCAACTTGGACGAAAACTACATGCCCGGGTTCTACCGCGACCTGAAGTTGTCCAACGTTGACCTGAAGCATGGGAGCTACGTGGGCAGATTTGTGCTCGGCTCCACGGTTGCTGTAGTTTTTGAGGCACCCGCTGACTTCCAGTTCCTTGTGAAGGCCGGGGACAAAGTGCGCTTTGGCCAGCCAGTGGGCAGCTGCGGTGATGCTAATGGTGCTCGTGCGGCTTGAGTTGGAGCGGATGCCCTGCTAGCTTCCGTTATGGTGATACCGTGTTGCACACTGGAGTCAACGTTTGAGCAACATCAGGGCTCAGAACTATCATGAAGGGAGATGCACTAGAGAAGCTGAACAACCCTAGATGCGACAATGCCTCCTACCCCATGAGAACTGCAAAGAATACATGGCCTTGGTACTTTCCCCTGCAACTCATTGGAAACTGCATAGGCTGAATGTATCCACGACTCCCATATTCTCCTGCTGGGCTGCAAGACCAGAATGCCATTCTTCTCGCATATACTTCACCCATTGTTGTAGCTGTGTGCACTGCATTCGCAACACGACAGGAATTGTGTTGGGTTTGTTCTGGTCCGTCCGTTTTCATTGCATTCCATGCTGTGCATGCGGAAGCTCCATGGTGCCTTTCTGAGCTGCATCGACATGTTTGTTAACGCAGCTACGTACTATCATGCCCTGTGGAGTCTGCGTGTACTTAGGAAAGCAATGCTACTGTACATGATAACCTCGTAATAATGCTGACTGGCTTTTATGGCTATCCCGCTACGCTGCTGCAGGCCATGCTGTGGTCATAGTGTGCCACCTCACTCTACACACGCATCTGTCTTTACTGCCTGATTATATCCATTCCATATTTTTCTTTTGCAACGGACTACTGACGTAGGTCCTGACGTGAAACAGATGCGGGCATCTGAATGAAACAACAACCTTGGCGTCCCTCGTCGTTTCGGAGTTTGCACGGCAGGAAGAGAAATGCCCGCCCAGCTACACGTCCATATGGTTTGTTACTTGTAACTGCACACAACCACCCAGTGTATGGCACAAAGAACTGGGTGTAGTGCCAAAGTTGCCGAGATGATTGTTGCAGCATTCCCAATACACTCGGACGTCTCTTATCCGGGCACCTTGGGACCGACCGGTCGACCGGGCATTGCCCGTATCTCGGGATAAATCATCTATCATGTATCATATCTTTTTTGAAGAAGTTTATTTGGAAATTGGAACGTATCGCACATGTTCAGGATACAAAAGGAACCGATTGATAAAAATGTGTGAATTACTTTTGTAGGTTGACAGTGAAAAATAGGCACTTTCACATACGGAAAAAAGAAACAAAACCCCCAAATTCGAAGCATTTGTGCTATAGGAACTCAAGCTGAAGGTGCCCGGTAGAGAGACGTGCCCGTATCTGAGGCGTTTGAGTGTACACTCGGACGTCTCTTATCCGGGTACCTTGGGACCGGGCACTGCCCGTATCTCAGGATAACTCATATACCATGTATCATATCATTTTGAAGAAGTAGTTTATTTGGAACGTATTGCACATGTTCAGGATACAAAAGGAACCCATTGATAAAAATGTGTGGATTACATAGGCTGGCAGTGAAAAATGAGCACTTCCTCATACGGAAAAAAGTTCAAAACCCCCAAATTCGAAGCATTTGTGATAGGAACTCAAGCTGAAGGTGCCCGGTAGAGAGACGTGCCCGTATCTTAGGCGTTTGAGTGTACCACCAAGAGTACCAGGTACATACCCCCCCCTCCCCCAAGAGTGTGCAACTCCAGCTATGGGGTCTGCGTCTGCGACGGCAGAACTTCACTTCACGTGACGAACCTGTACACATTACTTGCACCCAGTGCATGATCACTGTTTGCCAGCGGAGCTCCGGAGCCTTTTGAACCATGTCAAGTGATAAGAAGTTCTGCTGTCGCAGCATTGTTAAGTGATTTGTATAGGTTATGCTTAACAGTGGTTGTAGCGAAATCTTTCTTGTTTTAATACACGATTGGCTCTAAAAACCCTCACATCGTTGGTCATCATGCAGCATTGGGAAAGTGGTCATGGTGCCATTGCAGCTAGTCCAAGGTGCAGTGCGAGAACGGCTGAGCATAGTGTGAAATTCTCAACACAGTCTGGCAGCTTTGGCCTTGGAACTGCGCATGCTCCACAGGCGATGCAGTTGGGACAGTTGAGTTCGTTGCAACCGGACGCGTTGCAGCAACGTGTCGAATCCCTAGCTCTGGGTCTGGCAATGCAACCTTCTTTTCTGACCACCACTCGGAGCATGAACAGCAGAACGTACCCAGCATGGGAGTCCAGCCATGGCCAGTCTCTCAAGGCAGCCAAGTTAACACACCAATGCACATCAACAGAGCAGACCTGTCGGTCAATAGAACGTATCGATCAGAGACGGGATTATAACAGAATCAGCGATGCACGTTTCCTTCCTAAAAATAAAAAAATCTGTGGACGGTAGAATTGGTAGTGTTGCATGGAACTTTCCTAGACGATAGGATAACAATAGATATGAATACTTGATAAAAAAAGTCAAACGCTGCGGTTAGAATCTGATTGTCAGAAACAAAGAACTCGTCAGGGACGTATAGAAGAACTGCATCAAGTCAATGAACATATTTCCATGGCAACTCGATGGGAATGAAGTTCGCGCGCGCACACGTCCCGCCAGGCACATCATGATGACTCAACAATGGGGACAATAGCAAAGAAAGCGGTGGACATGTATACATTAACACCACGGCGTCACAGAGGCATGAAACTAGCTTCGGCGGACAGCGCGCACGTGTGGCCCAGTCAAAAAACAATATTTAAAAAACGTTCTCGGCCAAATCCCCCCCGAGGGATCTTTTTGTCATAGCAAGGGATATGGGAAATTCCCACGTACTGAATGGCAGCATGTGTGCGTGCACTAGTACTGTCAAAAGGTGCACAAGCTGGGAGTAGGGAATCCAAGCCACCAGGCATGGCTCCGCGATCCACTGGAGGGTGATCGGCGGCACTGACAAAGCACGGTACAGACCGCTACGTCACACTGCAACACCACATGCATCCGCATGCAGCGGCTGTGACAAGCCATTGCCACACACTGAACGGCACGGATGTAGTCTTTGCCAGTTCTCAATGGCACACAAACGTGTGCGTCTGTGTAATTGGGTGAAGTTTCAAAACTGGTGATAGTAAAACACATGATGCCATGCTACGCCCTGGGCAAGGCCAATATCCACATCCCTGAATCGACAGGATCACCGTCTACCGTGGTCCAGTTGCACCACAGGCAGTTAGCCCAACTGCTATAGCAGGTCAGCACCAGGGCGACGAAGAAGACAACGCCGCACAGAGGGCATGGCTGACGCTGTACGAAGACCGTCGCCACGTAGAAGAAGACGACAGCAAGGTGGTTATAGTAGAGGAGTGGGGACACGGGCCGTGGCAGAATCAGTACGGGCAGTAGCCACTGAAGACACTTCATACCACAACCGGTTCCTTGTCCAGGAACACCTCTGATCTGTATGCTGCTCCTTTGAATAACTCGCCAAATTGAACGATATCGCGATATTGACGATTTTCCGAATTATTATTTCCTCATGCAGGAAAGCAAAAAGTGGATCCTTCCCAAACGAGTTATGGTCTCACTGAAAGTGGCACAGAGTGATGGAAAGAGGCTCATTTACACTTGATATTTACCATTCATCAACCTGCAGCCTGCAGTCCCCCAGAAGACGAAGCTTCCAGAGCTAGAGAAGCCCACACACATGCACAGGCCACATTCTGCAAGTCAAATCAGCTACTGCCAGAAAAAGACAAGAATGATCATCCACTTCAAAAAAATAATTGTGCGTAGGCGGAATGATGACGCAAGCTCAGAGTGATGTCATTGATCTGTACCGTATACAGTCAACTTCGCTAATAACGACTTCGGATATAACGACAATTCGCGAATAACGACAGCATTTCCATGCCCAGAGCTATGCGCTGTAAGTTCACTCCAGATAAGTGTACCGCCTCAGAGTCTACCATTCCAGGTTACGGAGAGCCCCTGCGGATGGACTGCACTGTTCAGGGTGGAGGCGTTGCCATATGGTGCAAGTCTACTCTCGCAGTTGCACAGATCGACCTCCATGCCACTCCTGTGGACTCTAAGAACGCAGTTCTATGGTGCACCATCCAGTCCCAGTCTGGCAGCGATATCACCCTGGGAGCTGTGTATCGTTCTGGCTCGAGTGGCGACTCTGACGTCTCCCTACTGGAGCACCTAGACCACTGCCTGGATGCCGTTCCACCCTCCGCCCAAGTCATCCTGGCTGGCGACCTCAACGTCCACAGCACTGAGTGGCTTGGTAGCACCAAGACTACCACTGCTGGGCAACGCCTGGAAGAAATATGTGCGACGCACGGACTGATCCAACATGTTGATCAGCCAACAAGAGGAAAGAACACTCTTGACCTCATCCTGTCAAACTTGCCACACCCCGTCACAGTACAGGCATTTCCACCCCTGGGCAAGTCAGACCACTGTGTGATTCTTGCTGAGTTCAGCCCAGTCACGCTCCGTACTGAGCCCGTGTCTCGACGCCGCGTCTGGCGCTACAACCAGGCTGACTGGGGCCGCATGCGTCATTTTATTCGTCAGACAGACTGGCAGCACATTCTTAGCCACCACCCAGAACACGCATGCGTACAACTTACTTCCCGCATCCAGGAGGGCATGGATCGCTTCATCCCATCGAAGCATCTGTCAGTCAGAACGTGTGACCCTGTTTGGTGGACTCCTGAATGTAGTACAGCTGTGTCTGCAAGAAACCGTGCTTGGCGACACACCCGTGCACACCCAACTGATCTGCAATTGTCTGATACCTACACTGCAACCAGCCTGAGAGTTGCCACTGTGCTCCATGCAGCGCAGCAGGCTCATGTATCTTCATTGCGGAACAAGCTGTCGAATGGAAACCTACGTGACAAAGCATGGTGGTCAAACATGAAGCGTGCAGGAGGGCTATCCCGCACATCTGATATTCCTGTCCTAAAGGGGCCCGATGGTCAGCAATGTACCACGGCCTCCTCCAAGGCTGACTGTTTCGCATCATTCTTCGCAGAGAAGTGCAGCATCCCAAATGATCTCACTGAAGACACACTCCCGCCTTTCCCACCACGCACTGACGCCATCCTGAGTCAAATCCGTTTCCGGGAATCAGCAGTGCTCAAGCAGCTCCGGTGTCTTGAAGTATCCAAAGCGTCCGGGCCAGACTCCATTTCCTGCCGCGTTCTAAAGGAGTGTGCGTCTGAGCTCTCAAAGCCGTTGTCGCAGCTGTTCTCGTCTTGTCTCTCCCATGGTTACCAGCCTACAGCCTGGAAGGTAGCCAATGTGGTTCCCATCCACAAGCGCAAGGCCAAGGGCGATGTCCGTAATTATCGACCAGTCTCCTTGCTCTGTGTAGTATCCAAGGTGATGGAAAGAATAGTCAACCAGCAGCTCATCAACCATCTCAACAGCAATACCCTCCTGTCTGCCAACCAGTTTGGCTTTCGGAAATCAATCGGCACAGCTGACCTACTAACGTCACTCCAGCATGAATGGGCTTTAACCACCAGTAAGGGCGGAACCATTCAGGCCCTCGCCATAGACATAGCAGGCGCGTTTGACCGGGTTTCACACCCTGGGCTCCTCTGCAAGCTCCGAGGCTATGGCATTGGTGGGCAACTGCTGGCCTGGTTAACATCGTACCTCCAGAACCGGAAGCTGCAAGCTGTTGTTGCGGGACAGACCTCTACCCCCTCTACCATCCGGTCAGGCGTCCCTCAGGGCAGCATCCTAGGGCCCACATTGTTTCTAGTATACATAAACGACGCCGAAGATCAGCTACCTGCCAGCGTCTCCATCGCCGTGTATGCTGATGATACTACGTT